AACCCTGGGAACCTCCTCCCCGCCAGGTATCCACACAGTGAGCTAGTAGAGCCCTGTTGTCCTACATTTGCCATACATAGACTTGGTACACAATGTGATGTAGTTTTTTGTGGCTGTCATCAATGACAGTTGGATTTTTCACCTGGACAAATGAGTTGGATTGGACAGGTGAGTGTAAGGGATCGTACTATGGATGTAATTGTAAACAGTTCTGTGTACCAGACACTTGAAGGACTCTTTCAGGTAAAGTTCAAGTGGATTTTCTTGTTATTGGTGAGTGTTTTATGATGGTGACCTGATATGTACCCTGTATTATCAGTGTGTCCCTGTATTTTCCTGTTTACCTGAGAAAGTACCCACCCAGTCTACAGATATCTACAGGTGTAACTGTTTAACAGTACCTGTCCAATCTATAGGTATAAATGTGAAACAATACCTGTCTAATATACAGGTATAAATGTGAAACAATACCTGTCTAATCTACAGGTATAAATGTGAAACAATACCTGTCTAATCTACAGGTGTAAATGTGAAACAATGCCTGTCTAATTATATAATCTACAGGTATAATTGTGCAACAAAACCTGTCTAATTTACAGGTGTACATTTGAGACAGTATCTTTGTTTACCTGAGACATGACCTGTCTAATCTACAGGTGTACATTTGAGACAGTGTCTTTGTTTACCTGAGACAGGACCTGTCAAATCTACAGGTATAAGTGTGAGACAGTGTCTTGTTTATCGGAGACAGGACCTGTCTCCTACATGTGGGACTGTGAGACAGTGTCTTTGTTTACCTGAGACAGTACCTATTTAATCTACATGTGTAAATGTGAGACAGTGTCTTTGTTTAGCCGAGAAAGGACCTGTCAAATCTACAGGTATAAATGTGAGACAGTGTCTTGTTCACCAGAGAAAGTACCTGTCTAATGCATGAGTGGGTGTGGGATGTTTATTTCCTGTTAAACTGTGTGTACCTATCCAGATTATGAGACTGTGTATTAGGACCACTGTTGGACCATTGTACTGCTATCTATACTGAGAGACTGTATATTAGGACCACTGTTGGACCACTTCACTGCTATCTATATTTAGAGACTGTGTAATAGGACCACTGTTGGACCACTTTACTGCTATCTATATTTAGAGACTGTGTAATAGGACAACTGTTGGACCACTTCACTGCTATCTATATTTAGAGACTGTGTATTAGGACCACTGTTGGACCACTGTACTGCTATCTATACTTAGAGACCGTGTTTTAGGACCACTGTTGGACTACTTCACTGCTATCTATACTTAGAGACTGTGTATTAGGACCCCTGTTGGACCACTTCACTGCTATCTGTACTTAGAGACTGTGTATTAGGACCACTGTTGGACCACTGTACTGCTATCTATATTTAGAGACTGTATATAAGGACCACTCTTGGACCACTTCACTGCTATCTTTACTTAGAGACTGTGTATAAAGACCACTGTTGGACCACTTCACTGCTATATATACTTAGAGACTGTGTATAAAGACCACTGTTGGACCACTTCACTGCTATCTATACTTAGAGACTGTGTATAAGGACCACTGTTGGACCATTACACTGCTATCTATACTGAGAGACTGTGTATTAGGACCACTGTTGGACCACTTCACTGCTATCTATACTTAGATAGCAGTGTAATGGTAGAACAGTGGTCCTAATACGCAGTCTCTAAGTATAGAGAGCAGTACAGTGGTCCAACAGGGGTCTTCATACACAGTCTCTAAGCATAGATAGCAGCGAAGTGGTCCAACAGGGGTCCTCATACGCAGTCTCTAAGTATAGAGAGCAGTGAAGTGGTCCAACAGTGGGCTTTATACACAGTCTCTAAGCATAGATAGCAGTGTAATGGACCAACAGTGGTCCTAATACGCAGTCTCTAAGTATAAAGACCACTGTTGGATCACTTCACTGCTATCTTTACTTAGAGCCTGGGTATAAAGACCACTGTTGGACCGCTTCACTGCTATCTTTACTTAGAGCCTGGGTATAAAGACCACTGCTGGACCACTTCACTGCTATTTATATTTAGATACTGTGTATAAGGACCACTGTTGGACCTATTCACTGCTATATATCCTTAGATACTGTGTATAAAGACCTCTGTTGGACCACTTCGCTGCTATCTATGCTTAGAGACTGTGTATTAGGACCACTGTTGGACCACTTCACTGCTATATATACTTAGATACTGTGTATAAGGACCACTGTTGGACCATTACACTGCTATCTATACTGAGAGACTATGTATTAGGACTCCTGTTGGACCACTGTACTGCTATCTATACTGAGAGACTGTGTATTAGGACCACTGTTGGACCATTACACTGCTATCTATACTTAGAGACTGTGTATTAGGACCCCTGTTGGACCACTTCACTGCTATCTATACATAGAGACTGTGTATTAGGACCATTGTTGGACCATTACACTGCTATCTATACTGAGGGACTGTGTATTAGGACCCCTGTTGGACCACTTCACTGCTATCTATACTTAGAGACTGTGTATTAGGCCCACTGTTGGACCACTGTACTGCTATCTATACTTAGAGACTGTGTTATAGGACCACTGTTGGACTACTTCACTGCTATCTATACTTAGAGACTGTGTATTAGGACCACTGTTGGACCACTGCACTGCTATCTATACATATTGCGTATGATACAGATTTCCAGCTGCATACCAGGGTATGTATAGATAAGTCAGAACAGAGATAAAGTGAAAACCACTTGATAAAAGGCAGATACATTCATTTCATTGCACACTGTGCAGAAAGTATTGAAGTATAGGATGATATCACATTGTCGAGATCTAGTTTTATGTGTATTATGCAGGAGACACAATGGCATGATAACGTCTGTCTTTGATGTATTGACCAGTGAGTAGCCATAATAAACTATAAAAAATCGCCCGGTGATCAGTATATCTGTGCATGCATTTCTTATTGACTTGTATACACACGGGACCAGTTGATCACAAAACTGTACGGCCCGCTGCAGAAGACCAATATTCATGTTTCTACGATTGTGCTGACTGCATAACAGCCCACATTGGTTCGTTCTCCTGGGATACACTCTCAAGGTCACTGTCCATTCAAGGTTAAATATGATGTCCTTGGTGGAGCCAGCTAAAGCATTATAATAATAATAATAATGATAAAGGCTTTATTTATTCTTGATAACATATTGAGCATGGTGCTCATCTTACATATGGTCAAGATACAATGTATGATAAAATGTACCATATTTACAGCTGCAATATATATAGACCTACCATACTATTTGTGGTTAAGTGGTACAGTTTGTACTTGATACTTAGAGAGCGGTGCCGAGGTTCAATCTGTGGTCATCCTTAAACAATGTGGAGAAAATGGAATTAATTTAAATAAAATTTGCATTAATGTAAATGCCCTTCATTTTTATCATTTTCCAGAGTTAAAAATTGGCCTGGGATGAAATATGATATTAACATAATAAATGATACATGTGTACAAAGTTGACACGGTCTTTATGCCATTGTGCATGTATTATAGCTTCAGACTTGGCTCCCAGTGTATATGTACATGTCAGATTTGTATACGCCTAACAGTAGCCACCAAGGGGATAATTGTAAAAGGTGATCATTGGTATCTCGTTTCATTAATGGTTGAAACATACTGGTATATTTTGTATTAAGAGGATTTTATGTTACAGTATTATCTAACTTAACTTTTTTTTAAATCACTCGTGATGTACCGAAAAACTATTTGGTATTTTACAGGTAAAGTACATGTTTCTTACTAATTAATGGAATGTGTAAAAGTATTTCGAATATTTCTCTAACCTTTACAAAGATTGCAGTACAGGAGTTTTGAAACTATACTTTTGTGATGTCTAAGGAAATAGTGGTTTGTGATGTCGGAGGATTCTGTGTTACAGTACTAATGTCTGAGGATTCTGTTGTTTCTGTGTTACAGTACTAATGTCTGAGGATTCTTTTGTTTCTGTGTTACAGTACTAATGTCTGTTGATTCTGTGTTACAGTACTAATGTCTGAGGATTCTGTTGTTTCTGTGTTACAGTACTAATGTCTGCGGATTCTGTTGTTTCTGTGTTACAGTACTAATGTCTGGGGATTCTGTAGTTTCTGTGTTACAGTACTAATGTCTGAGGATTCTGTAGTTTCTGTGTTACAGTACTAATGTCTGAGGAATCTGTTGTTTCTGTGTTACAGTACTTATGTCTGAGGATTCTGTTGTTTCTGTGTTACAGTACTAATGTCTGGGGATTCTGTTGATTCTGTGTTACAGTACTGATGTCTGAGGATTCTGTAGTTTCTGTGTTACAGTACTAATGTCTGAGGAATCTGTTGTTTCTGTGTTACAGTACTTATGTCTGGGGATTCTGTTGTTTCTGTGTTACAGTACTAATGTCTGAGGATTCTGTTGTTTCTGTGTTACAGTACTTATGTCTGGGGATTCTGTTGTTTCTGTGTTACAGTACCAATGTCTGAGGATTCTGTTGTTTCTGTGTTACAGTACTAATGTCTGATGAATATGTGTTACTGTACTTGGGTTTCCTATAGTTACTTATGTCTGATGAAATGTGTTACTGTACTTGGTTGACTCAAGGTCATTATGATTTGAGTATCCAGTGTTAGATTAACTTTGAGTATTGATTCTTTTATAGGTCTAAGTGGTTTATAGACAGACAGAATCTTACATCCCTATAGTGTTAGTGTCATTACACATTTATCACATTTCATGAATGGCTTCTATGTAACACATTAAACGGTTGTTATACCATTATACCCGTACATAGTGCGGTAGGCACTTTATCAACTGTCTAGAGTGGTGTAAACCATTTGTGGCCTATAAACATGTTTGTCATTTTCTCTGTGAATATATCAAACCATCTGTCGCATGCCGTAATCAGTAAGCTCCGAGATTTCTGATCTAAATCCTTTTTTTAATGTTTCCAGATGTGACAGAATGCTGCCCAGGTGAGATTTGTCCGGCCCAACATGACAGAAGGTTGACCGATGACCACGGGATACAAATGTAGCCACCCGATGAAGTCAGGAGACTTACCTAATTTTTACACATGTGACTTAGACAAGCCGAAGTGACATAAACTTCAGGACCAGAATGTCTTCCAAAACCAAAACGAAGGGCTCCAAACTGGGGCTTTTCAAGTTCCGCAAGAGTACAACAGATGTAAGTACTGTTCTTTGTACATGTCCTACACAGGTAGGTATTTGTCTAGCTGTCCTGACAGTGATTTTGACAGAGCTCATTTATATCCTTCCTCTTATGAATTCTTAAATCTCTAGATCTGTACACACTGAGGTTTATAGTTTTACACTTCATGCATACAGTAGGTGTTAAGTGCAATGTAAAACAGAAAACAGAATAGAAAGAAAATTATTTTTTCATTTCATTTAAAACCATGTTTATATTTGTATCATTTACTGAATTGAACAGTGCCATTTTTGAACTACTACCAGTATACCTCATGAATTATATTATTTCATTTTTTTTTTATACTAATCTGTATACCAGATTCTTGTTTTGTTTGTATATTGATTTCTTATAATTAGTTCGAAATTGGTACGACCTTTGATTTTTAAGCTAAATCATGTTTTGTATCAGGGTATTTAGTTCCTTTGAAATATTTTTATTTGATAGTCACATTCCTTGTTTTAACTGAGTTTAACCTTGTTTATTCCGCATGCAGGAATATCCTCTTCTATATTTAGATGTTTAGCCATACTTGATGATGAGTCTTTGTTTTATCGTCATGGTCCTTGTTTGATAAAAAAAGATGCTGGCTTTGTTAGAAATGGTAATATTCCTGGTTTAACAAAAACTCTCGGACTTGTGTCCATACAATGGCTTTCTGGACACTAACTTTGTCCAGTCTGTCCCAGTTTTATTAATCCATTATCTCTGGTCAGCTGTAAAATTCTGTCCAAGGTCAGTGTACTGACATCCATTACGGTCCCTAATGAAGATGGTCAGGTCTAGTCGTGCCATGCCTCCATCAGCCCTCGTTAACGGCCAGAGTCGGCACAAAGTACCTTAGCAGCATCCCTAATGTAAACAACAAAGATTTATTATGTATATATACAGACGCGCTCAAAACATTTACTTTGCATCAAGGTTAGTTCCGGAGCAGTCTGGACATACAATCACAGTGACCTTGACCTATAAAACAAACATCAACATTGATCTAACTGTCGATGGAAGCACCAATCTGATTGGTTGTGAAAGATACGCAAATTGTAAAAACACAAGCTTGGTGATTGGATCAGTTGAGGAAATACAAACAAATTACCTTGATTGGTCAGACAAATAACGACATTGATTTGATTGGTTGGGGAAATACAAACAAATTGATTTGATTTTTGGTTAGAAAATTTGAGAAATAGATTAATTGATCTTGTTGATGGTGAAAGAAAAGAAATGTCTTTGTCAAAGATGTAGTCTTTATACATGAGTGTCATCCTCATCAGATAAAAAATGGGACTGTAACAACCAAATTAACCCATTAACCCCTAAAGTCACATTTAAACCTTACCAAATCATATTATTTGGTTATCTGTATGTTTACTGACCTATAAATACAATGTGACTAGATATGTTAACAACTTCTAGCTCAGGTCATTTGGTACAAACATCTCAGACGATGTTTAAGGTCTCTAAGTTCAAATACAGAATCTTCTCTTCACATTGATTTCTTGATGTCAGACAGTGTCCAATGGTTTGTGGGCTAGTTGTAACACGATGTCCAATGGTTTCTGGGCTAGTTGTAACACATTCTGGGCTAGTTGTAACACAATGGCCAATGGTTACTGGTGTAGTTGTAACATGGTGTCCAATGGTTACTGGTCTAGTTGTAACACGATGTCCAATAGTTGCTGTTTTAGTTGTAACACGATGTCCAATAGTTGCTGGTCTAGTTGTAACACGATATCCAATGGTTTCTGTGCTAGTTGTAACACGATGTCCAATGGTTGCTGGTCTAGTTGTAACACAATGTCCAATGGTTGATTTTTTAGTTGTAACACGATGTCCAATGGTTGCTGGTCTAGTTGTAACACGATGTCCAATTGTTGCTGGTCTAGTTGTAACACGATGTCCAATGGTTGATTGTTTAGTTGTAACACGATGTCCAATTGTTGCTGGTCTAGTTGTTACGAGATGTCCAATGGTTGCTGGTCTAGTTGTAACACGATGTCCAATGGTTGATTGTTTAGTTGTAACACGATGTCCAATGGTTACTGGTCTAGTTGTAACATGGTGTCCAATGGTTGATTGTTTAGTTGTAACATGATGTCCAATTGTTGCTGGTCTAGTTGTAATGAGATGTCCAATGGTTGCTGGTCTAGTTGTAACATGATGTCCAATGGTTGATTGTTTAGTTGTAACACGATGTCCAATGGTTGCTGGTCTAGTTGTAACACAATGTCCAATTGTTACTGGTCTAGTTGTAACACGATGTCCAATGGTGATTGTTTAGTTGTAACACAATGTCCAATGGTTGCTGGTCTAGTTGTAACACAATGCCCAATTGTTACTGGTCTAGTTGTAACACAGTGTCCAATGGTTGATTGTTTAGTTGTAACATGGTGTACAATGGTTGATTGTTTAGTTGTAACATGGTGTCCAATGGTTGCTGGTCTAGGTGTAACACAATGTCCAATTGTTACTGGTCTAGTTGTAACATGGTGTCCAATGGTTACTGGTCTAGTCGAACACGATGTCCAATGGTTTCTGGGCTAGTTGTAACATAATGTCCAATGGTTACTGGTCTAGTTGTAACATGGTGTCCAATGGTTACTGGTCTAGTCGAACACGATGTCCAATAGTTGCTTGTCTAGTTGTTACATAGTGTCCAATAGTTTCTGGGCTAGTTGTAACATGGTGTCCAATGGTTGATTGTTAAGTTGTAACATGGTGTCCAATGGTTGATTGTTAAGTTGTAACATGATGTCCAATGGTTGATTGTTAAGTTGTAACATGTGTCCAATGGTTACTGGTCTAGTTGTAACATGGTATTTTATGGTTACTGGTCTAGTTGTAACATGGTGTCCAATGGTTACTGGTCTAGTTGTAACATGGTGTCCTTGGGTTGATTGTTAAGTTGTAACATGTGTCCAATGGTTACTGGTCTAGTTGTAACATGATGTTTTATGGTTTCTGGTATAGTTGTAACATGGTGTCCAATGGTTACTGGTCTAGTTGTAACATGATGTCCAATGGTTACTGGTCTAGTTGTAACATGGTGTCCATGGGTTGATTGTTAAGTTGTAACATGGTGTCCAATGGTTGATTGTTAAGTTGTAACATGGTGTTTTATGGTTACTGGTCTAGTTTTAACATGGTGTCCAATGGTTACTGGTCTAGTTGTAACATGGTGTCCAATGGTTACTGTTCTAGTTGTAACATGGTGTCCATGGGTTGATTGTTAAGTTGTAAGATGTGTCCAATGGTTACTGGGCTAGTTGTAACATGGTGTCCAATGGGTTGATTGTTAAGTTGTAACATGGTGTTTTATGGTTTCTGGTCTAGTTGTAACATGGTGTCCATTGGTTACTGGTCTAGTTGTAACATGATGTCCAATGGTAACTTGTCTAGTTGTAACATGGTGTCCAATGGTTGATTGTTAAGTTGTAACATGGTGTTTTATGGTTACTGGTCTAGTTGTAACATGGTGTCCATGGGTTGATTGTTAAGTTGTAACATGGTGTCCAATGGTTACTGGGCTAGTTGTAACATGGTGTCCAATGGTTGATTGTTAAGTTGTAACATGGTGTTTTATGGTTTCTGGTCTAGTTGTAACATGGTGTCCATGGGTTGATTGTTAAGTTGTAACATGGTGTCCAATGGTTACTGGGCTAGTTGTAACATGGTGTCCAATGGTTGATTGTTAAGTTGTAACATGGTGTTTTATGGTTTCTGGTCTAGTTGTAACATGGTGTCCATGGGTTGATTGTTAAGTTGTAACATGGTGTTTTATGGTTTCTGGTCTAGTAGTAACATGATGTCCATGGGTTGATTGTTAAGTTATAACATGGTGTTTTATGGTTTCTGGTCTAGTTGTAACATGATGTCCATGGATTGATTGTTAAGTTGTAACATGTATCCAATGGTTTCTGGTCTAGTTGTAACATGATGTCCATGGGTTGATTGTTAAGTTGTAACATGGTTAAGTTGTAACATGGTGTCCAATGGATACTGGGCTAGTTGTAACATGATGTCCATGGATTGATTGTTAAGTTGTAACATGTAGCCAATGGTTTCTGGGCTAGTTGTAACATGATGTCCATGGATTGATTGTTAAGTTGTACAATGTATCCAATGGTTTCTGGTCTAGTTGTAACATGATGTCCAATGGTTGATTGTTTAGTTGTAACACGGTGTGCAATAGTTTTTGGGCAAGTTGTAACATGGTGTCCAATGGTTACTGGTCTAGTTGTAACATGTTGTCCAATGGTTACTGGTCTAGTTGTAACATGTTGTCCAATGGTTACTGGTCTAGTTGTAACATGGTGTCCATGGGTTAATTGTTAAGTTGTAACATGGTGTTTTATGGTTTCTGGGCTAGTTGTAACATGGTGTTTTATGGTTACTGGTGTAGTTGTAACATGGTGTCCAATAGTTTCTGGTCTAGTTGTAACATGGTGTTTTATGGTTTCTGGTCTAGTTGTAACATGGTGTCCAATGGTTGATTGCTAAGTTGTAACATGGTGTTTTATGATTTCTGCTCTAGTTGTAACATGATGTCCAATTGTTACTGGTCTAGTTGTAACATGATGAGCAGAAATCATAAAACACCATGTTAAGTGGTAACATGGAGTTTTATGATTTCTGCTCTAGTTGTGGTGTAGTTGTAACATGGTGTCCAATAGTTTCTGGTCGAGTTGTAACATGGTGTTTTATGGTTTTTGGTCTAGTTGTAACATGGTGTCCAATTGTTGATTGTTTAGTTGTAACATGGTGTGCAATAGGTTGTAACATGGTGTCCAATGGTTGATGGTTAAGTTGTAACATGGTGTCCATGGGTTGCTTGTTAAGTTGTCACATGGTGTTTTATGGTTTCTGGGCTAGTTGTAACATGATGTCCAATTGTTACTGGTCTAGTTGTAACATGGTGTCAAATGGTTGATTGTTAAGTGGTAACATGGGGTTTTATGATTTCTGCTCTAGTTGCAACATGATGTCCAATGGTTACTGGGCTAGTTGTAACATGGTGTCCAAGGGTTACTGGTCTAGTTGTAACATGCTGTTCAATGGTTTCTGGGCAAGTTGTAACATGGTGTCCAATGGTTGATGGTTAAGTTGTAACATGGTGTCCATGGGTTAATTGTTAAGTTGTAACATGGTGTCCATGGGTTGCTTGTTAAGTTGTCACATGGTGTTTTATGGTTTCTGGGCTAGTTGTAACATGATGTCCAATGGTTGATTGTTTAGTTGTAACATGGTGTCCAATGGTTGATTGTTAAGTGGTAACATGGTGTTTTATGATTTCTGCTCTAGTTGTAACATGATGTCCAATGGTTACTGGTCTAGTTGTAACATGATGTCCATGGGTTGATTGTTAAGTTGTAACATGGTGCTTTATGGTTTCTGGTCTAGTTGTAACATGATTTCCAATGGTTACTGGTCTAGTTGTAACATGGTGTCCAATAGTTTCTGGTCTAGTTGTAACATGATGTCCATGGGTTGATTGTTAAGTTGTAACCTGTGTCCAATGGTACTGGTCTAGTTGTAACATGGTGTCCATTGGTTGATTGTTAAGTTGTAACATGTGTCCAATGGTTACTGGTCTAGTTGTAACATGATGTCCATGGGTTGATTTTTAAGTTGTAACCTGTGTCCAATGGTACTGGCCTAGTTGTAACATGGTGTCCATTGGTTGATTGTTAAGTTGTACCATGTGTCCAATGGTTACTGGTCTAGTTTTAACATGATGTCCAATGGTTACTTGTCTAGTTGTAACATGGTGTTTTATGGTTACTGGTCTAGTTGTAACATGATGTCCAATGGTAACTGGTCTAGTTGTAACATGATGTCCAATGGTTACTGGTCTATTGTAACATGATGTCCAATGGTTACTGGTCTAGTTGTAACATGGTGTTCAATGGTTTCTGGGCAAGTTGTAACATGTTGTCCAATGGTTACTGGTCTAGTTGTAACATGATGTCTAATGGTTTCTGGGCTAGTTGAAACATGATGTCCAATGGTTGATTGTTAAGTTGTAACATGATGTCCAATGGTTACTGGTCTAGTTGTAACATGATGTCTAATGGTTTCTGGGCTAGTTGAAACATGATGTCCAATGGTTGATTGTTAAGTTGTAACATGATGTCCAATGGTTACTGGGCTAGTTGTAACATGGTGTCCATGGGTTGATTGTTAAGTTGTAACATGATGTCCAATGGTTTCTGGTCTAGTTGTAACATGGTGTCAAACGGTTACTGGTCTAGTTGTAACATGCTGTTCAATGGTTTCTGGGCAAGTTGTAACATGGTGTCCAATGGTTACTGGTCTAGTTGTAACATGGTGTCCAATGGTTACTGGTTTAGTTGTAACATGGTGTCCAATGGTTATTGGTCTAGTTGTAACATGGTGTCCAATGGTTGATTGTTTAGTTGTAACATGATGTCTAATGGTTTCTGGTCTAGTTGTAACATGATGTCCAATGGTTGATTGTTTAGTTGTAACATGGTGTGCAATAGTTTTTGGGCAAGTTGTAACATGGTGTCCAATGGTTTCTGGGCTAGTTGTAACATGATGTCTAATGGTTTCTGTTCTTATTGTAACACTATGTCCAATGGTTGATTTTTAAATGTTACATGATGTCCAATGGTTACTGGTCTAGTTGTAACATGGTGTCCAATGGTTGATTATTTAGTTGTAACATGATGTCTAATGGTTAGTGGTCTGTTTTTAGCACAGTGTCCAATGGTCACAACTGTACTTACTGTAAGATTGTTACAATGTTTACTTGTAGTTTTCTGTGATTGTATTACAGTTGTCAGAATGGAACAAGAATGATGAGAAGCTACTGAAGGCCGTGGAATCGGGAGATACAGCTAAGGTTGAAAGTGTTCTACATAAAAAGGCAATGGTTCCTACAAAGCTGGGACCAAAGGGGCTATCTGTGTAAGTATTCTACAGGAGAATTAGCTGTAGTTAAATGTACCTACACAGCTGGCCCAAAGGAGCTATATGTGTAAGTAGTCTACAAGAGAATTCGCTGTAGTTAAATGTACCTACAAAGCTGGGTCCAAAGGGGCTATCTGTGTAAGTCGTCTACCGGAGAATTAGCTGTAGTTAAATGTACCTACACAGCTGGCCCAAAGGAGCTATATGTGTAAGTAGTCTACAAGAGAATTAGCTGTAGTTAAATGTACCTACAAAGCTGGGTCCAAAGGGGCTATCTGTGTAAGTAGTCTACAAGAGACTTAGTTGTAGTTAAATGTACCTACAAAGCTGGGACCAAAGGGTCTATCTGTGTAAGTAGTCTACAAGAGACTTAGCTTTAGTTAAATGTACCTACACAGCTGGCCCAAAGGAGCTATATGTGTAAGTAGTCTACAAGAGAATGAGCTGTAGTTAAATGTACCTACAAAGCTGGGCCCAAAGGGGCTATCTGTGTAAGTAGTCTACAAGAGACTTAGCTTTAGTTAAATGTACCTACACAGCTGGCCCAAAGGAGCTATATGTGTAAGTAGTCTACAAGAGACTTAGCTGTAGTTAAATGTACCTACACAGCTGGCCCAAAGGGGCTATCTGTGTAAGTAGTCTACAAGAGACTTAGCTGTAGTTAAATGTACCTAAACAGCTGGCCCAAAGGGGCTATCTGTGTAAGTAGTCTACAAGAGACTTAGCTGTAGGTAAATGTACCTACAAAGCTGGGACCAAAGGATCTATCTGTGTAAGTAGTCTACAGGAGAATTAGCTGGAGTTAAATGTACCTACAAAGCTGGGACCAAAGGGGCTATCTGGGTAAGTATTCTACAAGAGACTTAGCTGTAGTTAAATGTACCTACAAAGCTTGGTTCCAAAGGGGCTATCTGTGTAAGTAACCTACGAAAAAGATATGTTACCTTCAATTGAGAAAGGGTCTGTCTGTGTTAAATGTAAAATTCCATGGACCCTACAACCTAGGTCACAAGGGGCTGTCTGAATTAGTATTATATGAAAATATTGCCATGGTTCCTGCAAAACTGGGTCCAAAGGAGCTGTGGGTATTATCCTACAAGAAGGGCCTCAAGGCCTTAGGATGAGTATGTAGATTTGTCTGTGGGTATTCTGACTAGTGTATTGAATTTATTCAAGGTTTATGAGGCAGGGTGATGCCATTACACTCAAACCTGGCCCCAAGTGGCCAGCTTCATAACTCCTCACAACTATGGTTTGTCTCCTTTCGTAGAATCAACATTTTCCTCTACCACCTTAATGTCAAATAGAATTGATGGGTGTCCTGTTTAAAGTTTAAACCAATACATCTTTCAGTTTACATTTTCCCATCCATTCAAAGTTCTATTCATACGACACACAAGGTGTTGATGCTTAGGATTTCAATACAGCGTGACCTGATTTCACCAGGGTAAGAACAGCAGTGATAAACAAACTTCTATGAATAAACAAATTTCCATGATTGAAATGATTAAAAAATTGTGCTTTGTAGCACAATGATAGAATAACTAGAATAACGCCAAAGCTGAAGACTGGAATTGAGATCAGGACGTTGGCATTTGGGAGTGTAGGAAAGGACACTATTATATTTGAAATTACAGGGAAGGGGTACAGGACACAGAGACCAGAGAGTAGGGTGGGGAGGAGGGGAGTGGACTGGTAGATTGATGGGGAGGTAGAATAGCTATGTTTTACCACCATACACAGACTACAGGAGATGCAGTGTAGTGTTTATGCTGCACACACATACAAGCTGCCACCTGGTCGTGTGTTAGGTCGTCACACCTTGTTACCTATACTGCTGTACTAGTCTGTATTTCTAACCTCCCCCTCCCCTATCTCTCCTCCATCAAAGGGGCCTGCTAGGGGTGGTAGCTGGTGATAAGTAGGAGTAAATGGAATCTGCAGACTGAGCCCTACTGCTATCATGATACAACTTACGACTCTTACTTACCAGTGTCAGAATATGTTTTTCTGGAGAATTGTGTTGTAAGGAGATGTTTTACTTACTATGTATACAGTGTATTAGTTGAGGTACAAATAAATATATGGAGATGTTATTTATTCTTGAAGACGATTTTTAGTAAGATTACTTAACATATGTATGCTCTGGTTGTATGTCCTATTTTTTAAAATGTGTGATGTATACATATATATGTTTAACAGATAGTGTTTATTAGTATTTTTTCAGTTTTTACATTAATTTTTCCTTATATGAAATACTTTTCCGTTTTATATGCATGTTTTGTAAATAAACATATGTATACTAGGTTCCCTTTTAGTGAACAATATCATTAAGCTGAATGATTATCCTGTGATAAAATCTACATGACTATCAATGTACCTGTACATGAATTATCTGTATGTCAGCAAGACGCCCCATATGACCTTGGTGAAGATCTGAATGACCTCTGTTTAACAGGTTCCACATCGCCTGTGCTGCGGGGAGGACTCCGATCGTGGAACAGTTTCTTGGTTACGGAGCTGACGCCAACTTAAAAACCATACAAGGTAGCCACTTTTATCGCATAAAGTAACGTCAGATCATCTTACATTTTCTGTCAATATCAGTATGGTTTATAAAGTATCTTAATAACATAACAATTAAATCCTACATATTTTCATGTTCAGCTCAGCTTGTATTGAGCCACAGACCATAGTGTGTAGTGACCTAACTGACAGACTACAAGGTACCATAGTGTGTAGTGACCTAACTGACTGACAACACGGTACCATAGTGTGTAGTGATCTAACTGACTGACTACAAGGTACCATAGTGTGTAGTGACCTAACTGACTGACTACAAGGTACCATAGTGTGTAGTGACCTAACTGACTGACTACAAGGTACCATAGTGTGTAGTGACCTAACTGACTGACTACAAGGTACCATAGTGTGTAGTGACCTAACTGACTGACTACAAGGTACCATAGTGTGTAGTGACCTAACTGACTGACTACAAGGTACCATAGTGTGTAGTGACCTAACTGACTGACTACAAGGTACCATAGTGTGTAGTGACCTAACTGACTGACTACAAGGTACCATAGTGTGTAGTGACCTAACTGACTGACTACAAGGTACCATAGTGTGTAGTGACCTAACTGACTGACTACAAGGTACCATAGTGTGTAGTGACCTAACTGACTGACTACAAGGTACCATAGTGTGTAGTGACCTAACTGACTGACTACAAGGTACCATAGTGTGTAGTGACCTAACTGACTGACTACAAGGTACCATAGTGTGTAGTGACCTAACTGACTGACTACAAGGTACCATAGTGTGTAGTGACCTAACTGACTGACTACAAGGTACCATAGTGTGTAGTGACCTAACTGACTGACTACAAGGTACCATAGTGTGTAGTGACCTAACTGACTGACTACAAGGTACCATAGTGTGTAGTGACCTAACTGACTGACTACAAGGTACCATAGTGTGTAGTGACCTAACTGACTGACTACAAGGTACCATAGTGTGTAGTGACCTAACTGACTGACTACAAGGTACCATAGTGTGTAGTGACCTAACTGACTGACTACAAGGTACCATAGTGTGTAGTGACCTGACTGACTGACTACAAGGTACCATAGTGTATAGTGACCTACTGACTGACTACAAGGTACCATAATGTGTAGTGACCTAGCTGTCTGACTACAAGGTACCATAGTGTGTAGTGACCTAGCTGACTGTGTACAAGGTAACATAGTGTGTAGTGACCTAACGGACTGACTACAAGGTACCAAACTGTGTAGTGACCTGACTGACAGACTTCAATGTACCATAGTGTGTAGTGATCTACTGACTGACTACAAGGTCCCATAATGTGTAGTGACCTAGATGTATGACTACAAGGTACCATAGGGTGTAGTGACCTACCTGACTGACTACAAGGTATCATAGTGTATAGTGACCTAACTGACTGACAACAAGGTTCTATAGTGGGTAGTGACCTAGCTGACTGACTAAAAGGTACCATAGTGTGTAGTAACCTAACTGACTGACTACAAGGTACCATAGTGTGTAGTGACGTACTGACTGACTTCAAGGTACCATAGTGTGTAGTGACCTAGCTGACTGACTACAAGTACCATAGTGTGTGGTGACCTAACTGACTGACTACAAGGTACCATAGTGTGTAGTGACCTAACTGACTGACTACAAGGTACCATAGTGTGTAGTGACCTAACTGACTGACTACAAGGTACCATAGTGTGTAGTGACCTAACTGACTGACTACAAGGTACCATAGTGTGTAGTGACCTAACTGACTGACTACAAGGTACCATAGTGTGTAGTGACCTAACTGACTGACTACAAGGTACCATAGTGTGTAGTGACCTAACTGACTGACTACAAGGTACCATAGTGTGTAGTGACCTAACTGACTGACTACAAGGTACCATAGTGTGTAGTGACCTAACTGACTGACTACAAGGTACCATAGTGTGTAGTGACCTAACTGACTGACTACAAGGTACCATAGTGTGTAGTGACCTAACTGACTGACTACAAGGTACCATAGTGTGTAGTGACCTAACTGACTGACTACAAGGTACCATAGTGTGTAGTGACCTAACTGACTGACTACAAGGTACCATAGTGTGTAGTGACCTAACTGACTGACTACAAGGTACCATAGTGTGTAGTGACCTAACTGACTGACTACAAGGTACCATAGTGTGTAGTGACCTAACTGACTGACTACAAGGTACCATAGTGTGTAGTGACCTAACTGACTGACTACAAGGTACCATAGTGTGTAGTGACCTAACTGACTGACTACAAGGTACCATAGTGTGTAGTGACCTAACTGACTGACTACAAGGTACCATAGTGTGTAGTGACCTAACTGACTGACTACAAGGTACCATAGTGTGTAGTGACCTAACTGACTGACTACAAGGTACCATAGTGTGTAGTGACCTAACTGACTGACTACAAGGTACCATAGTGTGTAGTGACCTAACTGACTGACTACAAGGTACCATAGTGTGTAGTGACCTAACTGACTGACTACAAGGTACCATAGTGTGTAGTGACCTAACTGACTGACTACAAGGTACCATAGTGTGTAGTGACCTAACTGACTGACTACAAGGTACCATAGTGTGTAGTGACCTAACTGACTGACTACAAGGTACCATAGTGTGTAGTGACCTAACTGACTGACTACAAGGTACCATAGTGTGTAGTGACCTAACTGACTGACTACAAGGTACCATAGTGTGTAGTGACCTAACTGACTGACTACAAGGTACCATAGTGTGTAGTGACCTAACTGACTGACTACAAGGTACCATAGTGTGTAGTGACCTAACTGACTGACTACAAGGTACCATAGTGTGTAGTGACCTAACTGACTGACTACAAGGTACCATAGTGTGTAGTGACCTAACTGACTGACTACAAGGTACCATAGTGTGTAGTGACCTAACTGACTGACTACAAGGTACCATAGTGTGTAGTGACCTAACTGACTGACTACAAGGTACCATAGTGTGTAGTGACCTAACTGACTGACTACAAGGTACCATAGTGTGTAGTGACCTAACTGACTGACTACAAGGTACCATAGTGTGTAGTGACCTAACTGACTGACTACAAGGTACCATAGTGTGTAGTGACCTAACTGACTGACTACAAGGTACCATAGTGTGTAGTGACCTAACTGACTGACTACAAGGTACCATAGTGTGTAGTGACCTAACTGACTGACTACAAGGTACCATAGTGTGTAGTGACCTAACTGACTGACTACAAGGTACCATAGTGTGTAGTGACCTAACTGACTGACTACAAGGTACCATAGTGTGTAGTGACCTAACTGACTGACTACAAGGTACCATAGTGTGTAGTGACCTAACTGACTGACTACAAGGTACCATAGTGTGTAGTGACCTAACTGACTGACTACAAGGTACCATAGTGTGTAGTGACCTAACTGACTGACTACAAGGTACCATAGTGTGTAGTGACCTAACTGACTGACTACAAGGTACCATAGTGTGTAGTGACCTAACTGACTGACTACAAGGTACCATAGTGTGTAGTGACCTAACTGACTGACTACAAGGTACCATAGTGTGTAGTGACCTAACTGACTGACTACAAGGTACCATAGTGTGTAGTGACCTAACTGACTGACTACAAGGTACCATAGTGTGTAGTGACCTAACTGACTGACTACAAGGTACCATAGTGTGTAGTGACCTAACTGACTGACTACAAGGTACCATAGTGTGTAGTGACCTAACTGACTGACTACAAGGTACCATAGTGTGTAGTGACCTAACTGACTGACTACAAGGTACCATAGTGTGTAGTGACCTAACTGACTGACTACAAGGTACCATAGTGTGTAGTGACCTAACTGACTGACTACAAGGTACCATAGTGTGTAGTGACCTAACTGACTGACTACAAGGTACCATAGTGTGTAGTGACCTAACTGACTGACTACAAGGTACCATAGTGTGTAGTGACCTAACTGACTGACTACAAGGTACCATAGTGTGTAGTGACCTAACTGACTGACTACAAGGTACCATAGTGTGTAGTGACCTAACTGACTGACTACAAGGTACCATAGTGTGTAGTGACCTAACTGACTGACTACAAGGTACCATAGTGTGTAGTGACCTACTGACTTATTACAAGTAACCATAATGTGTAGTGACCTAACTGACTGACTACAAGGTACCATAGTGTGTAGTGACCTAACTGACTGCCTACAAGGTACCATAGTGCGTAGTGACCTAACTGACTGCCTACAAGGTACCATAGTGCGTAGTGACCTAACTGACTGTCTACAAGGTACCATAGTGTGTAGTGGCCTAGCTGACTGACTACAAGGTACCAAAGTGTGTGGTGACCTTAATGACTGACTACAAGGTTAAACCTTGGATCATGCAGATGGCATGAGATAAGTGTGTAGTGACCTAACTAGCTGACTACAAGGTACCATAATGTGTAGTGACCACAAACTACAAGGTACCATAGTGGGTAGTGACCTAACTGACTGTCTACAAGGTACCATAGTGTCTCGTGACGTACTGCCTGACTTCAAGGTACCATAGTGTGTAGTGCCCTAACTGACTGACTACAAGGTACCAAAGTGTGTAGTGACCTTAATGACTGACTACAAGGTTAAACCTTGGATCATGCAGATGGCATGAGATATAGATGTGTCCTTTATCATAATTGCTCAACTGCAATTTCTAAGCGTAGAACATCCAATCATTTGGGTTGGGTATTAGGTTTTCTGTGCTTTTTATCATAATTGCTCTACTGCACTTTCTGAGAGTAGAACAGAAAATCATTTGGGTTGGGTGTTAGGGTTTCCTGTGCTTTGTTATTCAACTGGAAGTGCGCTTTATTGATGAGCAGTTTGAAATACTGATCCATAACAGGCAGGACACCCAAACAGCCTCCAGCAAACACATATCCTTACTCATATGGAGGCTCTCCTGATTGTATCAAATATAAGTATATAAGTCTGTTATCTCCTGAATGTTAAGTGCCACAGAATGATTTCCTTTAGATAAGGCAGGGCACTCTTAAAATGTTGTGTAATAAAAATAAAATTCACTTGAATAATATAAACTTCAAAGTGTCTGTACAAAATCATGAGATTTTCCTTTTGTTTTCAGGTGTCATTTTCCTCCCGTTTTATCATGTAATGGACAGGAAACATTTCTAGGTCGCATAGACTTGTATATTATTTTGGTCCGTACACAGGATATACTTGTATGTGTTTTGAAGTGTTTACTGTAAAGCACGTAATGTGTTACTCTTCTAAACAATAACAGTTTACAACAATAACAGTTTACAGAAAGTGAAAGGTGTCAAGTGTCCTTAACCACCAAACAATAAAAGCCAACAGGAAGTGTAAGTGTCAAGAGTGCCCCACACTTCCAAACAATAACAGTCCGTAGAAAGTGGTCGGTGTGGAGTGCTCCTTAATGGCGTCCTTGTGTGCAGGTCTGGGGTGAGGCCGCAACACTTGTGGTGAGGGAGACAAGTGTGTCTAAGATCGCCCTTATGTATCAAGTACATGTTGGGTGAAGTCATTGAAGGATGGTTAGTAGTTGCTGTAATCCAGGGTCACTTGTTATTAATTATGGCATGTTTAGGATGCAGTTTTCCATGATTTGACCTTGCAGTATATTTTTTGAGGTCATGGCTGTGTAACTCAACGAGAAGTTATCATTCCCCTATAAAAGTTTAATGGACACTTGGTCAGGGAGTGGATGCACATGTCCGTGTAAAGCATGTGCACGCTCCTTTGATGGGTTTGTGGAGATGAGTAAGTGGGTGCAAGTTGGGGTACATCCTGCCAGACTTCGGCCTCCGTGGTAGAGATTTTGATTGGTGTGAGAGCTATTGATCAGGTTGGATTACGATATAAGTGGGTGAATTGTACCATATCAGACATTGTGTCTGGTGAATACAGAACACCACATATTTGCCCCACGTATCAAAGTCCTGCATTCATTGTTGTGTAAAGTTGAAAGCATCACTGTATCTCTTGGTCAGGAGGTAGGGTTAGTGATCCTGCTGTAATACAGGGGTGTTGGTATGGCTGTCAGCCTGTCTGTGTTGCATTTCAATATATTTATGTATTTTATGAGTTTGTAATACATGTATGTTTCATTGCTGATAATTTGACATATAAATGATGGGCCCAATACTGATTTTGTTTTAAATACAAACTGTTCCCATTCCAGAAACATCTCCGTTACAGTTAGCAGCAGGCAATGGTAGAGCTGATATTGTGCAACGACTTATACAGGTAATTATACAACCTACCACATCTGGTTCATGTCCAGGTATTACACCCTAAATCATACCTCTAGTTCTGCTCAAATATTACACAGTAAAACATACCCCTGATTCATGCCCAGGTATTACACCCTAAATCAATCCTCTGGTTCTGCTCAAATATTACACTGTAAAACATACCCTGGTACATGTCCAGGTATTACACCCTAAATCATACCTCTAGTTCTGCTCAAATATTACACAGTAAAACATACCCCTGGTTCATGTCCAGGTATTACACCCTAAATCTTACCCCTGGTTCATGGCCAGGTATTACACCCTAAATCTTACCTCTGGTTCTGCTCAAATATTACATAGTGAAACATACCCCTGGTTCATGTCCAGGTATTACACCCTAAATCTTACCCCTGGTTCATGTCCAGGTATTACACCCTAAATCTTACCTCTGGTTCTGCTCAAATATTACACTGTAAAACAAACACCTGGTTCATGTCCAGGTATTACACCCTAAATCATACCTCTGGTTCTGCTAAAATATTACACTGTAAAACATACCCCTGGTTCCTGTCCAGGTATTACACCCTAAATCATACCTCTAGTTCTGCTCAAATATTACATAGTAAAACATACCCCTGGTTCATGTCCAGGTATTACCCCCTTAATCTTACCTCTGGTTCTGCTCAAATATTACACTGTAAAACAAACCCCTGGTTCATGTCCAGGTATTACACCCTAAATCATCCCTCTGGTTCTGCTAAAATATTACACTGTAAAACATGCCCCTGGTTCCTGTCCAGGTATTACACCCTAAATCATACCTCTAGTTCTTCTCAAATATTACACAGTAAAACATACCCCTGGTTTATGTCCAGGTATTACACCCTAAATCATACCTCTGGTTCTGCTTAAATATTACACTGTAAAACATACCCCTGGTTCATGTCCAGGTATTACCCCCTTAATCTTTCCTCTGGTTCTGCTCAAATATTACACTGTAAAACAAACCCCTGGTTCATGTCCAGGTATTACACCCTAGATCATACCTCTGGTTCTGCTAAAATATTACACTGTAAAACATACCCGTGGTTCCTGTCCAGGTATTACACCCTAAATCATACCTCTAGTTCTGCTCAAATATTACATAGTAAAACATACCCCTGGATCATGTCCAGGTATTACACCCTAAATCAATCCTCTGGTTCTGCTCAAATATTACACTGTAAAACATATCCCTGGTTCATGTCCAGGTATTACACCCTAAATCATCCCTCTGGTTCTGCTCAAATATTACACTGTAAAACAAACCCCTGGTTCATGTCCAGGTATTACGCCCTAAATCAAACCTCTGATCCATGTGTAGGTATTACACCCTAAATCATACCCCTGGTTCATGTCCAGGTATTACACCCTAAATCATCCCTCTGGTTCTGCTAAAATATTACACTGTAAAACATACCCGTGGTTCCTGTCCAGGTATTACACCCTAAATCATACCTCTAGTTCTGCTCAAATATTACATCGTAAAACATACCCCTGGTTCATGTCCAGGTATTACCCCCTTAATCTTCCCTCTGGTTCTGCTCAAATATTACACTGTAAAACATATCCCTGGTTCATGTCCAGGTATTACACCCTAAATCATCCCTCTGGTTCTGCTCAAATATTACACTGTAAAACATACCCTGGTACATGTCCAGGTATTACACCCTAAATCATACCTCTGGTTCTGCTCAAATATTACATAGTGAAACATACCCTTGGTTCATGTCCAGGTATTACACCCTAAATCTTACCTCTGGCTCTGCTCAAATATTACATAGTGAAACATACCCCTGGTTCATGTCCAGGTATTACACCCTTAATCTTACCTCTAGTTCTGCTCAAATATTACACTGTAAAACAAACCCCTGGTTCATGTCCAGGAATTACACCCTAAATCTTACCTCTGGTTCTGCTCAAATATTACATAGTGAAACATACCCTTGGTTCATGTCAAGGTATAACACCCTAACTCTTACCTCTAGTTCTGCTCAAATATTACACTGTAAAACAAACCCCTGGTTCATGTCCAGGTATAACACCCTAAATCATACCTCTGGTTCTGCTCAAATATTACATAGTGAAACATACCCCTGGTTCATGTCCAGGTATTACAACCTTAATCTTACCTCTTGTTCTGCTCAAATATTACACAGTAAAATATACCCCTGGTCCATGTCCAGGTATTTCACCCTAAATCATACCTCTGTTTCATGTGTAGGTATTTCACCCTAAATAATACCTCTGGTTCTGCTCAAATATTACACTGTAAAACAAACCCCTGGTTCATGTACAGGTATTACACCCTAAATCTTACCTCTGGTTCTGCTCAAATATTACACTGTAAAACATACCCCTGGTTCATGTCCAGGTATTACCCCCTTAATCTTTCCTCTGGTTCTGCTCAAATATTACACTGTAAAACATACCCTGGTACATGTCCAGGTATTACACCCTAAATCATACCTCTAGTTCTGCTCGAATATTACACAGTAAAACATACCCCTGGTTCATGTCCAGGTATTACACCCTTAATCTTACCTCTAGTTCTGCTCAAATATTACACTGTAAAACAAACCCCTGGTTCATGTCCAGGTATTACACCCTAAATCTTACCCCTGGTTCATGTCCAGGTATTACACCCTAAATCATCCCTCTGGTTCTGCTAAAATATTACACTGTAAAACATACCCGTGGTTCCTGTCCAGGTATTACACCCTAAATCATACCTCTGATCCATGTGTAGGTATTAAACCCTAAATCATACCCCTGGTTCATGTCCAGGTATTACACCCTTAATCTTACCTCTGGTTCTGCTCAAATATTACACAGTAAAACATACCCCTGGTTTATGTCCAGGTATTACACCCTAAATCATACCTCTAGTTCTGCTCAAATATTACATCGTAAAACATACCCCTGGTTCATGTCCAGGTATTACACCCTTAATCTTACCTCTTGTTCTGCTCAAATATTACACAGTAAAATATACCCCTGGTCCATGTCCAGGTATTTCACCCTAAATCATACCTCTGGTTCATGTGTAGGTATTTCACCCTAAATAATACCTCTGGTTCTGCTCAAATATTACACTGTAAAACAAACCCCTGGTTCATGTCCAGGTATTACACCCTAAATCAAACCTCTGATCCATGTGTAGGTATTACACCCTAAATCATACCCCTGGTTCATGTCCAGGTATTACACCGTAAATCATACCACTGGTTCTGCTCAAATATTACTCAGTAAAACAACCCCTGGTCCATGTCCAGGTATTACACGCTAAATCATACCTCTGGTTTATGTGTAGGTATTACACCCTAAATAATACCTCTGGTTTACACCCTAAATCATACCTCTGGTTCTGCTCAAATATTACACTGTAAAACAAACCCCTGGTTCATGTCCAGGTATTTCACCCTAAATCATACCTCTGGTTCATGTGTAGGTATTACACCCTAAATAATACCTCTGGTTTACACCCTAAATCATACCTCTGGTTCTGCTCAAATATTACACTGTAAAACATACCCCTGGTCCATGTCCAGGTATTACACCCTAAATTATACCTCTGGTTCATGTGTAGGTATTACACCCTAAATCATACCTCTGGTTCTGCTCAAATATTATACAGTAAAACATACCCCTGGTCCATGTACAGGTATTAAACCCTAAATCATACCTCTGGTTCTGCTCCAATATTACACAGTAAAACATGGCAATCCTTACCATTTCATGTAAATTCACTTCATAGATATCTTTTAAATAATTGTAAGTATTTATATTTATTTCACTTACAAGTATTTATAACTATTTCAGAGGAAATAAAATACTTGAAACCTAAATTGAAAACTGTATCCTATAATGACTTTACAATAACCTGCAACCAGATTGGACCACAATAAAGTTTGATTTAAAATCCTACATTTTAAAACAAACATTATCAAGTGCTTCTGATCTGTGATATTTGAAATCGTACCACCACCAAATTGTCCCTGTCGCAATTGGTGTTTATCAGCTGATCAATCATGCCCCGAGCCTAAATATTTCCTGTTTAAATGTCACCTTCCACTACTGAAACAGGACTGTACCCAGTCTCCTCCGTCTTGGCCAAACTGTACTGACCTTAACTCGTTCAATGATAGCAGGCAATGTTAATATTGAAGTAATTTAAAAGTAACATGTGATTTTGATTGTTAGACTTAGGCCCTTTGCTGGCCTGAGGTGTACATGCTATGTAGTTAATAGCTAATAAAGATGACACAACAATTGTTATAAAGATAGCAGGATGACATAAGTGTTATGTGCCTGTACGACCACATCACTGGTGGAAGGGTTGATGTAAATGTCATTTTTCGTTGATTTGATGCTCTTTTAGGTGCAAATGTCAAAAATATTTTAGCCCACCATCGTCTATGGTGGCTGATTCGTGCCATTTCGTTGTTTTCTCTTTGCCCCCCCCCCCCCCCCCCCCCCCCACCCCTAAATTTAAAAAAAAAAAAATACAAACCCAAATTCTTGGTCTTTCATCCTTCCACCCCGAAAAGAGGAGATTTATCCAACCTTTACTCTTGGTGTCTTGTCTTTTTGCCCCAAAAAGGCAAAACCATGAGTAAGAAAAGTTTCAAGATCTTGTTTTTTAGTTGAAACAGTGAAACAACCATATGGCACAAATCAGTCACCATAATCATCAAATGATAGACTTTTCAAATCGCCTTTTCTCCTTGGTCCGTCTATTTGTCTGTCTACTGCTCCATCAGTAAACTATTCTTGTAATCACTGTTCATGGAAAATATCCTTTTCACTTCTTTGTCAGATTTTGCATACAGCATCGCCTTGTGTCCTAGTTGTGCAATAAATAGTTGTTTGTATATTTAAAGAAAGAGATTGTTGCCAGGTGGGCATCCTAGATTTTAGGGTCAATGTTTATTTTCCCTATTACTCAGAAAGTGCTGTTTGGAAGTACGCTGTTAAAAGTAATTATTTATTTGACTACTTTAATAGGCAAGAGTGGAGATAGAGGAAACCGACAAGAATGAGACGACGGCACTACACCATGCCTGTATGGGTATGCATGTTAACTGTGTCCAGGTGCTGCTCCACCACAAGGCTGACGTCAGCGTGGGAGACAAGGTAGGGTCAAAGTTCACTTCTCCGGGTCATAACTATATCACTGCTGAAGACATTTTAGTTGAAATTTTCTAGAGTTGCAAAAGAATTCTATCCCTATAGACATTGCTGTTCACTCTTTTGTAGACGGACAAGACACCTCTGTTCTATGCCTCACACAACGGGGACTTACAGATCTGTAAGGAGCTGCTGGACCGAGGGGCAGAGGTCAATAGGTGTGACACGTCAAACATGTAAGTGGTCACTCTCTGTACAATCCGATTACATCTTGTAAACCCCTTATTTTTGATACTTTGGTGCAACAGTAGGTTTATATATTCTGTCCGTTGTGCCGTTTTATGGCCATGCCATAGCTTGTTCACATTCACTGACTATCAATTACCACTAAATATATGCATCTGTTATGTCTTTAGCCCAAGGTCAATAAGGTAGTTTAAGTAAGATTTCAGAGGTTAAGTAAAAATTAGTGCAGTTCAATTCCTTGCACTAAAAGTCTTTTGTAGTCTGAGGATATACAGATGAGCCTGCGATTACTTTTGCTCACCAATATACTGCTTGATGTATGAAACTTGGTCCTGTGTGATGTTATTAAGATATAAGTACAATTGCTACATGAAAAACTGTTTGATATGAGAGTTATGTCCCTTCCAGCACCCCACTGATGGCAGCAGCCAAGCAAGGTCATAAGGAGGTGTGTGAACTTCTACTGAGAAAGGGAGCTGACCCACAGGCCACAGACATACAGGGTAAGGGCTGATTGAAGGGGATAGAGGGGGCTACAGACATACAGGGTAAGGGCTGATTGAAGGGGATAGAGGAGGCTGACCCACAGGCCACAGACATACAGAGTTAGGGCTGATTGAAGGGGATAGAGGGGGCTACAGACATACAGGGTAAGGGCTGATTGAGGGGGATAGAGGAGGCTGACCCACAGGCTACAGGCATACAGGGTAAGGGCTGATTGAAGGAGATAGAGGGGGCTACAGACATACAGGGTAAGGGCTGATTGAGGGGGATAGAGGGGGCTACAGACATACCGGGTAAGGGCTGATTGAAGGGGATAGAGGAGGCTACAGACATACAGGGTAAGGGCTGATTGAAGGGGATAGAGGGGGCTGACCCACAGGCCACAGACATACAGGGTAAGGGCTGATTGAAGGGGATAGAGATGGCTGACCCACAGGCCGCATAATACAGGGTAAGGGCTGATTGAAGGGGATAGAGGGGGCTGATCTACAGGCCACAGACATACAGGGTAAGGGCTTATTGAAGGGGATAGAGGGGGCTACAGACATACAGGGTAAGGGCTGATGGAAGGGGATAGAGGGGGCTACAGACATACGGGGTAAGGGCTGATTGAAGGGGATAGAGGGGGCTGACCCACAGGCTACAGACATACAGAGTAAGGGCTGATTGAAGGGGATAGAGGGGGCTACAGACATACAGGGTAAGGGCTGATTGAAGGGAATAGAGGGGGCTGACCCACAGGCCATGGAAAAGTTAAATCAGACTATTATGTTTGGGTAAACTCTGCACTTGTGACATTTTACCATTGTACTTATTCATTATGTCAGTAAACAGAAAGTAAATGTGGTATTGTGCTTCATAGGAAGGAAAGCCCTTCAGTATGCTTTAGACGCAGGACATGAAGAGCTGGAGGAGGTGTTTAGTAAAGCACCGACGAGGGCCTCCTGGGACCTCAACTCATCTAAGACTGCCAATGGTATGTAGGGCCAAGGTTCATAGTAACCAGCTGGAGTCTTGTTAACATCATGGTCTATCCTGTCAAATTGTGTTCTGAATAATTATACTAATTTAGGTCTGTAGAGAAGTTTTGCTATTTTTGTAATTCAACTTTTGCGATAAAACTTCTCAGGGTCAAACTTCTGTTTCTGGAACAAATTTGTGGGGTTTCAAAATTCACATGACCCTGTTAATGGTTAGCAGACCAACCCTCTGTCATAAGGGCTAATAATTCACTGGGATTATTATTCAAATTTTTTTTTTGAGGGCACAAATACTTAACAAGAATAAATCCTCTGTTCTATAAACAATGTAAAATACATGATGGTATACCATAATGAAACAGATAACATGCTAATTATAATTTTAGATCATTAATGAATGAGTTTCAAAGGCTTTTCATGTTGATATTCTTATTGATAGGTCCATCAAGCAGTGCAGATGGAGATGTTGTCATACAGACACCTACATCAGAGATGCCAGAGGCTGATCAGGTACAATCTAAGGCACAATGTTAGCAAATTCAAGGGAGATAACTCTTCTACTATAGCAGCTAAATTCAAGGGAGATAACTTATTTTCTATAGCAGCTGTTGGAATCTATAGATATGTTGTCGGACAATTTAAATGATTTCATTGGTGTGGTAGTCATCCAGAATTTTGATATTCTGAAATAGTTATAATTCAGACCCTTTATCAATATTTCTGTATACCTGTAATTTTACACAAGAAGGGGACTGTTTCAAACAAGTTGGAATTATACCTTACCATGAGATATATTTGGAATATTATATTTAGATAATATTTGAGCGTAAAGAAATATTTCAGTTAATACCTGGACACATACCAATTCTACAGTGATGAGAATCATCCATATTTGATCTATCCAGTCTTACGTGACAATGCCTGTGACTGTTGAATTGTGAAGACTCTAACTGAATGTTTTTACCTGTTGTTAACCAGGTGGATGCAGTTGCTCAGTTTATACCTGCCAACACACCTGAGTTTGACCGGAAGCCTTCCAACAATGTATCCCCTAGCCACCAACCAGTACCTCAGGTAAACAAACAATTTGACATTCGGTGCTTACCTGAACTTTGAGAACTGCCCCAAGTATTTTATTGTATACTTATACATACTGTGGTATACATTATCACCTAAATCAAATTAAGTCTTGTATTCCTGTATTGCTAAAAATAAATCTTAATTATTTTTGAAGACATCATTCATTGCTGTATGTAAATACATGTTTTAGTTATTTTACCTTTACCTTACTTACAGCCAAGAATCACAAAACCAGCAGAGATTCCTCCCCAGGTAAATGCTGTTGACCAGCGTGCAGTGGAGGCCTTCAAGGTATGTGTATAAGACAGTCTTACAAGTATATTACAGGTAAATTTCTTATAACATGTCTTAGGGTAGATTTTTATTTTGTATTGCAGGTGTTATGTAGTCTATTAGGTGTAATACAAGAATATTTATTATATGTGTGGTACAGGTAGTCTAACATACAGGTGTAATGTAGTCTATATTTGTAATACAGGTAGATTTTTTATATGTGTGGTACAGGTAGTCTAACATACAGGTGTAATATAGTCTATAATTGTAATACAGGTAGATTTATTATATGTTTGGTACAGGTAGTCTAACATAAAGGTGTAATGTAGGTAACCTAGTGCATGGGTAGCTTATAATTAGAGCTGCATTGCTGTATGTATGTCTAAAACCAGGATATGTAGAGTTTATCATATGTCTATAGCTACAGGTATTTCTGTGGTGGAGTCAAGACCCTGGTGATATTGTGCTTAGTTATATAGTCCTAAACTAGGGAATGTTTTAGTGCTCCCAAATATGAAAGACATGAGCATGGCAGAAATAGAAAAACAAGGAAATGTTGGATTGGTGAAGCTTTTACTAAATAAGTTACCACAATTTGTAGGAAACAATATCATTTTCCTCAGTATGTGATCGCATGCAAGTTTTAAAGTTTGAATATGTATTCAACATATTTTTATAACATTTTGAGTTATGAAGGTAAGAACACATTTCTTGAGAATTTGTTAATGAATTTGCTTTCAAGTAAATGTTTTGTTTTTTCAATGATTTCTGTAATAATTAAGTTCAGGGATTCAATTTCGATGCTATCACTGGTTAATGTTCAAAAGAATCATAAAGATATCTTTTGTTGTCTTTTATATTAATTTAAGCACAAACTGTCCTGCCATGCAATATCTGACTAAAGACCTCCAATCTAGGCATGTCATGATGTATCTCTTTATTGTATCTCAGCCTCCTGTTTGTGGTGCACTACAAACTATATATACACAAATGGAGTATGGTGTCTCAAGGAAATTAAACTAATTTTTGTTGAAAATTACAAGCATTTATGTTAAGTCTTGTTCTATTCAGGCAGTGAACAGATTTTGTTTTATCTTTTTAAACATTTGTGGTAAATGGTAACTTGCATGAAACTTTAGGCCCCACCATTTTTTTCTTCAAAGGGAGATAACTCTGGAGAGGTAAGGTTATATTAACCAGTATGTGTTGCTGCACGGTTGAGGCCCCCCCTTCCCTCCGTGTTATTAAGTTCCCAGTGTGGTGGTCCCGGTCTTGTGCACACCTGTATCTGACTGGTCACACCTGAATATCTGTAACACCTGTTCCAATGTGGTCAGTGGTCACATCTAGACAGATGTGGTCACTGGTCCGGTCTCTGCTGCTACAAGATTTCTTATGGTAACATCACTTCATCGAAGACATCACTTCATTTTCTCTCAGGGAAAGCATTTCTTTTGTCATTTTGTCTTTCAACATAACCTCATATTGGTCTTTTTTCTCTCAAATTTCATCATCATTGTCATCGTCGTCATCATCATCATTGTCATCGTCTTCGTCATCATCATCATTGCATCATCACCATCATCATTATCATTGCATCATCTGCCCATCCCATGTTAATATGTACTTACTCATAACCTATCATCTCATCTGTCTGTCCTACCCATGGTAATATGTACATTCTCATTACCTATCATCTCATCATCATCTTCATCAACATCATCATCATCATTGTCGTCATCTGTCCTACCCATGTTAATATGTACTTACTCATTACCTATCATCTCATCATTATCATCTCATCATATCATCATCATCATCATCATCATCATCTGACCTACCCATGTTAATATGTACTTACTCATTATCTATCATCTCATCATTATCATCTCATCATCATCATCATCATCATCATCTGACCTACCCACGTTGATATGTACAGAAACACTACCAGTATCTACTTGCCATGAGTCACGTACCTGTTAATTGATGAACTTAACCCACCTTTACTCTCATCTGTAGTAGTACACCATCTTCTTGTGATCAACAAATCTATGAACTTTGCCTTGTCCTTTGTTAGCACAAATAACACACCATAAGACAATATAGCTCACAGTTATTGTGTAAATCCGCGGTGAATTAACTCCAAACATTTTGTTATGTGTTTTCCTCCTTAGGCTTCACAAGAAAAATCTGATGCCTTTTCTTCGGATGGCTTCTCAAATATGTTGTGCATTTCTCCAAGAGACCTTACGGATATTTTTTTTTCATTTTCCAATGCAGAGCTTGCAAATAAGTTTTACATTCCCAAGCCCCTAACCATTGCTAATTTTTCCTCAGAACGAAATAAAACCCATATCCTGCCATGCTTCTTTTTTGCTAATTTTGCTTAATGAATTGCTAGATTTATTATTATTTATTATTATTGATATTTACATATATATTTATATATACCGGATATGTACACCAGATATAAACAGTATTGTTATATCTGTATTCTGTTTTACAGCAGGTATATCTTGTACTTGTGTGACAGATTATATACTATATAGACCTATTATTTGTGTTATTTAAAGGGTTATTAAAGTGAAATCTGTCTTAACTGAACACTGAGAAATTCAAAAATAGATTTGATAAACTATGCATTTAATTCAGAAATATGTTTAGTAAGCCTGACAGAAAAGTTAGAAGTATTATTTGATAAACTCTGTGTTTAATACCTCCCATAGGGTTCTTTGTAAGTCTAACTCTTTTACTGTGTATTTCTTTAAATATTTTTATCGTACTTTCTTTTATCTAGACTAATATTCTAGCTTCTGTGTAAGACCTGTTTATTTCAAATAGACAAAAATGTCCCTGTAGTGTTTAATTTAGACAGGGACCGATCCCTATACACGATGTAAATAGGAATTCTTGAAACCCCAAGTATGAGTATTTGATGACCAGTTCCTGTTTCACATCTGTGTTTTGCATGACGTTTGATGATCTACACTGTCACTTTTGTAGAACATTTCTTGTTTTGCTCAGAGACGATCATCTCACGAGTTTTCCTGCTATTTCTTATTTGATTGATTCAGAAGCATGTGATGCACCACATATCTATATCGGTGTTATTGCCACACTTCATTAATCTTATTAACGGAACTGTGAAAATAAACAAAACATTATGACAGTTGCTTTGTTTCTCTATATTGTTGAATCTGCTCTAGCAGGATCTTTTACCCTAAAATAATTCTGAAAATATAAGCTGTCTGTAAAGACTGCCTGTTGAAAAGGGTCAACTGGGTTGATCCTCCGGTGTAGCAGACTTAACAGTTTGTTTTTAACATATTGTTTCTGTCATCAGGAACTGGAGGAGGAGCATGAACAACTCAACGAAGAGTTCCACAGAGTTACCTCCCATAACAGGAAGTTACAGGGTGATATATTGTCCCTACAGAAGCAGCTACAGGAACTTCAACAGGCGGTAAGTGGGATTTGGGATCAAGATCACTAATCACCTAGTGCTGTCACCTTATGTAAGAAATTATATACCTTAATTTCCTAACTAGGAGTATGACTAATAAAACTCTAATAAATAACTGTACATATCTTGAAATATGTGTTACAAGATGTGTTTTCTGATCAAGCCTGTAAATTGTCCTTTATTTTCAGGCTTCTGAAGACAAGACAAAAGACTTGGAGAAAATGGTAAGTTTGATAGCAGTACATTGCACCAAGTAATGATAAAAGTTCCATATGTAACAAAGAATTAGTAAAAGTGTCTTATTGAATTAATTATCAGGGCACAATGTAGTATGTGATACAGATCTAGATGTGATTATGTGTTGTGTTATTTAACTCAAACTTTATGTATATGCAGTATTGTCTTACTGTCACACTCAAAGTGGACTGAAGGAATGATGAAACGTGTAGCAGATATAGCATAAACAATCATATTTATTTGTATAAACAATCATCTGCATGCGTTGATTAAAAGTCTTAAAACTTTTGTAACAGGTGGAGGGTCTTGAGGTCAAACTAGCCGAGGAAAAGGAGAGGAATCAGGAATTGGAGGAGAAGTTCTCCTCACAGACTAAATCAGAGGTAAGACATAGGTCATCTGTGATTATATTAGGGGGGCCACATGGCCATGCTCCGTAAAATCCACTCAACATTTTATCACAATAATACCATTGTTATAGTTTCAAAGGGAAGAGCATGGGAATTTTACAAATAAATCAACAATTTTATTAATACTTTAAAAACACAATCTTTACAGAATGCAAAAACATAGGTACTAGATACTTGATTAACCCTTAGGTTAGTCTCTACCCATCCTCAGTATCCAGGGGTTACGCTCACTTTCGCTCTCTGGCCCCCTGGAATATGTCATAGCAAAATTGAAGGCTCGAATATAGCTGTTTGATTGGTCTCAGGTAAAAAAAACCTGACCAATCGCTAGGCTGATACCTGTCCTTTGAAGATTACAAAGGAGAGACGCCCGACATTAAAGACTGTCAACTTTTACCGTTACATGACCGTGATATTCTTTTGATGTACATCAAAGGATCGAACTAGTCTTCTTGTCTCATCAACAAGATGGCGCACACCGAGCCTTCAATTTTGCCATGACATATTACCCCGAAAGTGAGCGTAACCACTGGATATCGAGGATGGTCTCTACCCCAATAACATAAGGTTCTTTTCTTCCTTAATATTTATACTTCTTGTTTCCAATGCTTTTTATTCCCCTACAAGCCTTACCACAGGTTTTTTTAAGATTCCATGGCATCTGTCTTTCCGTCTATCTGGTTTTCTTGAATAATTTCCATCATGAGATATTGAGTTGAAAAATTGGTTTGTGGCTTCATCATTAATGGTGACAGATTAAGATCATCACACCTGATTATCCCCCCTTTCGACAGAGTTAATTAACAGCCCTTCAAACTGATAATTAATTCGTGACAATAATTTACTCCGTTTCACATTTACATTGTTTAAGCAGGGAACATGATAATATTGCTTTATCTATACCTGTAATTCCAAAATGTTTGTTATTCATCATTTTTTTTTATAGAAAAGCAGTTACCAATGATTCTAATTCTGTATATTATTTTATTTTTTCTTCACAATGTATCATTGTTTTGAGGTCCTATTGTTTAATGTGATTCCAGAGTGCACCTGAAGAGGATGGGCAATCCACAGGAGATGTCTGGAATGACAGTGAAGATGATTTGTTCGATTCTCCTGGTAAATATTTAAACGTTTCCTTTATTACCCAATCCCTCAGCCCATAAAAACTAAACGGATAGTAGTGTTGAATAAAACCACTGATTGTATGAAGATGTATTTGAGTCGTTATTTTGGTTTAACCAGGTCACAAGGCCAATGGAGGAATGGAGCCTGATGATAAACAGATGGTAGCCTTGTTACGGAGTCAAATCCTCACACTCCACCAGGAGAACGACCAACTCAAGGAACGTGCACAGGTGAGTCATGGTAAAGAGCAGCTCATGGAATGAACACAGGTTAATAATTATAGCGAACAGCTCACAGAATGAGCACAGGTGATTTATAAGAATAAGCAGGTCAAGGAATATGCTCAGGTGAGGCAGTGCAACCAGCAGCTGAATCATTGCATTAGGGCTGAAGGAGGGAAACTCAGATACTCTGCATGGATACTTAGAATTTAAAAACAAGTATTCAGGATAATACATTTTTTTTTTTTTTTTTTTTTTTTTGTTGAATGTACCCGCAACAGCCAGGGTCATAGGAACACAGGCAATAATTTGGTATCTGGGAATCACATTTCAATTTGTATTGATGAGTTGTTACCGTGGAAATGGTTAATCTGGCTGTTTATATTCCTCTTTAACCAGTTATATTTTTGATATCCTTTTATACTTCCTGTTTAACTGGAATAGTGTGAAATTCAAGCTATACAATGGTGTGTGTAGCACTCATCATCTAAATCACTACACACTTGTAACTATCAACTGAAAGAAGTCACAGTGTCCTAACAAGTTTAATCCCTTGTACTAAAATGTAATGATCATCTTGTCTGTTTAAAAGAAAGGTTATTCCTGTTAAATTGATTTTGTAAAGACGGTAAATAAAGGAAAGTGTTACCGCCTTTGATCAAATTGTTCTTAAAATGTCAAACTCTTTTAATCTATAGAACGAGCATAATTTCTCATTCTACTAATTTGTATACCCTGTTTTTAGGTCAGACTCCATAATGATATTCAATTCTAAATCTACATATATATTTCAGTGATATCCTGTTTTAGGTAAAACTTCTTTTGTTTTTCAATCTTCACACCTCAATCACTTGTCATGTGATCACTCCCAGCATGCATTAGTTTTGTCTGGTACACCTGGATCAATCAGTATGAAATTTTCTATCTATTTCATTTTCACTTCAAGGGTGGAAAATTCACAGCTTATAATACCTAAAAAATATCCTCATGTTTTAAGAAGAAATAATTTTTAAAAAATTCTATGAAATTTGAAGTGTCATCAAAACGTTTATGCTATCTAAAAGTAAATATTTTGCCAGTCTGTTGAGATTACTACAAAACACCTTAGTTACATACTATAAACAACATTTTCTTCATCAGGATTGTTCTCAGGGATCACACTATACAGAGTCACTTGGTCTTTCCTCACTGGTGTTTGTACATTGTCTGGTGTATGAAGTTCATGTTTGTTTATTTGTTTGTTTTACTGTTGTTTAGTTACACTGACTGATTGGCTTGTTGAAAACTGTAGTCTAGTTTTTATAGAAATCTTCAATATTAGCCATAGAACTCTTTTTTATTTTTTAATGTTTATGTTGTTCATTAAGAAACCAACTCATGGTACATGATATTAAATTAAAAGGAGGCATGGAAGTCTAGTGGTAGGATGCCGGGCTCGTGACCGAAGGGTTGTGAGTTCGAGTCGAGCAAGATACTTTACTCCGTTTGTTCCAGTCTACTCAGCTGTAAATGAGTATGTGGTTGGGCAGTGCTAGAAATGTAGAATGCTAGCTGTGAGTGCCTAAATGGCAGCACCGGCTATATGCTCCCCAGGGAGTTGAGAAAGATATTGGTTGGTTGCAAAGGCCCTATAACCACAGATAATAATTTGTGAACCGTTTTGAGACAACCTACGAAGTAGGTTGTGATAAAGCGGTATATAAGAACCTCAAATTATTATTATTATTATTTAAATATCTTTATATTTATGTTGTTCAGCCCTTAGATAAACCTACCAACCAAAAATGATGTTGTAAACCAAAATAATCAAACACTACTACATGTAGATGTTGTCTAATCAGATACTGTTTGGGTTTTCAGACACACTGCTGGAGTAACCAGTGCTCGATCATTATAAAGCATCAATTTCAAATATGATAGAAGTGGTTTCCACTTGACGCTGGTCATCTTATGGAAACAGTATAACCATAGCAAACATTTCTTTGTTCCCACAAAAATGGCTGTTACACCATTTGGTAAAACATTTTGCTTAGAATTTATCATGAACAGAAAAAAATCCACCCAGAAACACGAATTGTTTGTTGTTTTGAGCTAAATATAGGGATTGATATACATTCTGATGGTATATGCGACACAGTTTTGTGCATCTTAGAATACGTTTAAATGAAGCTGTGTTGAATACCATCATATCAATGTCAGAAAGATTCATTTCACGCCTTATATAAAAGTTAAAATCTAGAACTTTTTAAAAACTTGGGCACTTCTTTGATAATTTAGGTACATATGGTCATATATTTGCATTATGTTGTAATTAACTGTGAGCACTTTTTTCCATGTGCCATTACATGTCATTTTCTACAACTACCATCGTGTAAGAAAAACAAAAGTAACTGTCATCATAATGTCACGTATAGTCCAATCTAATCTAATTCAGATCTTCGCACTACTTCCATTTATTTTGATTAGACTACAGAATGGACATTCTGTACTCTAGTGATTGGTTAATAGTGTATACATTCCTGGCCTGTTTCAGTCTGTACCTCCTGAGGCTGTAGGGACTCCCTCTTTCCTCGCCCCCGTGGCACAGGACCTGCCCCCGGGGATCAGAGTCCAGCTTGAGGAAAAGGAAGAGGAGTTGGAGGAACTCCATAATAAGCTCATCACCTTGGAGGAGGAAAACAAGATCATCATTGAACAGGTAATCACCCCATCAGACGTTTTTCTGATCTGTACTAAGAAGAGATCACTCGTGACGAGATGGTTCTTTGGGTACATAATCTGTTAAGAAATGGCAAAGTTGCTGGTGACCAGATGGATTTGTCCGTAGAGTTAGGAAGCCCAGACTCACATTTTGTAAAAAAAAAATGTTTTCTATAGAAAGTTTTATTTTGCATTGAATCACTTAAAATGTTCCGTTATGCATGTCTCCAAATTAACTTTAAATAATAGAATATCAATATGAGTATAATGTAATTTTAGTGCTGTATATTTTAATTTTCACAGTAAGTTTGATTTTAAATTAATACTATAATTACATTTTGAATAAGTTGTGAGAATGAAACCTGCTGATTAAAGATATCTTTACCTTTTCTACTCAGATTAAGAGGAACAGACACAGGGAGGAAGACTTTGTGGAGAGGGAGATTCAGACATCTCCTAAGACCGTTAACGGAGACAACCAGTCATCACCAGACAATAGATCCACACCAGACCAACTCTCAAAAACAGCGGCTAAATCAGAGGATGTCGGTGATGAGAAAAGTGAGGAGGTGGAGAAATTGAAACACGACTTAGAAACACTGAGAGAAACGTACGAAAAGTTGGTACAGGCTGGGGACAATCTGCAGGACATGTACGACCAGGTTTTACAGGAGAAAGATCAACAGTCTGAGGAGTTCGAGAAACTTTTACAGGAAAAAGAAGAAATTGTGAAAGAAAATGAATTTCTTTTATCTGATGGCAATGCCATGCATGAGGACCTAGAAAAGTTAGTGCAAGAATTAGAAAAAAATCAGGAAAACTTAGAAAAGGTTCAGTCTGAGAAGGAGGATTTAGAGCGAAAACTTGCAGCTGTAAATATGTCAGGTAAAGCTAGTGAGATGGCGAAGCTGATGGAGGAGCGTGATGGATACAAATCACGATATGAGGAGGAGGTGGCGGAGCGTGGACGGCTCCAGGAGAACCACGACGTGGTACTGGAGGAGGTACAGAACCTACAGGAAAAGAGTCAGGCCATGTCATTGGAGCAGGAACAGATTCAGCAGGAGTACGAGGGCCTACAAGACGAGTACGATCAACTTTCACAGCAGTCGGAGGCCCTCCAACAAGACTACACACAGCTGGAGCAGGACTACTCAGAACTGCTCGGTGACAAGGAGAAGATGGAGCAGGAATTCCTAGAGGTGCAGACAGCCAGTGTCCAGGTGGAACATCGCAACCCGAGCCTCCTCGAGGAGAAAGAACACCTCCAGGAGGAGTACGACATGCTGGACTACGAGAAGGAGCAGCTAGAACTCACCATCGCAGAAATGTCAAAGAACAATGCCTTGTTAGAGGAACAATTAGATAAAATTAGAATTGAGTTGTCAAGGACACATGAAAAATTGAAAAAGGAATCTGCAATTAGGGCACAGCAAGAGTCTGAATCAACTACAGACAAGGACAAACAAGCGAAGTCTCAACAAACACAGATATTACGCCTACAGCAACAGCTCGCAGTAAGTTATAATTACCATAGCAACAACATGTGATAAGTTATAGTTACCATAGCAACAACATGTGATAAGTTATAGTTACCATAGCAACAACATGTGATAAGTTATAATTACCAAAGCTATGTATAGCAATGACATGTGATAGTTATAATTACCATAGCTATGTATAGCAATGACATGTGATAAGTTATAATTACCATAGCAACAACTATTGATAAGGTACAATTACCTTAGCTACGACTCACAGACAGTTATAATAACCATAACAACAACATGTAGTAGGTTGTTATTACCATACCTATAGCAACAACTTGTGGCTTATTGGGTTAGTTCTATATACTGACCTCATTTTATGTTAGTACAACATACTGACCCTGTATTCTGTCAGAACTACATTATTGGGTTAGTACTTCCTGTACTGACCTCGTATTGGGTCAGTACTACATAATCTGACCTCATATTCTGTCAGTTTTACATGTACTAACCTCATATTGGTCAGTGGTACATATTGACCTCATATTCTGTCGGTACTAAATACTGACCTCGTTTTGGGCTGGTACTACGTATTGACCTATTCTGTCTGTACTACATACTGACCTCATTTTGGTTAGTACTAAATATTGACCTCCTATTCTGCCGGTACTAAATACTGACCTCGTATTTGGCTAGTACTACATACTGATCTCATATTCTGTCGGTACTACAGACTGATCTCATACTCTGTCTGTACTACATCCTGAGCTCATACTCTGTCTGTACTACATGCTGAGCTCATAATCTGCCGGTACTAAATACTGACCTTGTATTTGGCTAGTACTACATATTGATCTCATATTCTGTCTGTACTACATGCTGACCTCATATTCTGTCTGTACTACATACTGATCTCATATTCTGTCTGTACTACATGCTGACCTCATATTCTGTCTGTACTACATACTGATCTCATATTCTGTCGGTACTACATACTGACCTCTTATTTGGTCAGTACTACATATTGACCTCATATTCTGTCTATACTACACGATCTCATATTCTGTCCATACTACAGACTGATCTCATATTCTGTCTGTACTACATGCTGACCTCATATTCTGTCGGTACTAAATACTGACCTCTTATTTGGTCAATACTACTTACTGGTCTCGTATTTGGCTAGTACTACATATTGACCTCATATTCTGTCAGTACTACAGACTGATCTCATATTCTGTCGGTATTACAGACTGACCTCTTATTTGGTCAGTACTACAGACTGACCTCTTATTTGGTAAGTACTACATATTGACCTCATATTCTGTCGGTACTACTTACTGACCACATATTGAGTCAATAATGATAAGATACTGAATTAATTGTGTCAGTTGATGACATGCTTCAGCCAATGTGAATGCTACATGCTGGACATCATACTGTGAACCCTTAGCCAGAGAAGTTTGTATTCCCAGTCATAAGCTAGATTATTTTGTGTTTGTAGGAAACAGATCGACATCACAGGGATGTTGTAAACACATACAGAACGCACCTCATCTCGTCAATACAGGTAGGTCACATGTCTGTACATACAAAAATGCAAATCTTGTCTTCAGTGTTATAGATTATTTTTTTGTGTCCGTGATAAATTTTGGCTTGTCACAGATGGATTTACAAAGAAATATTAAATTGAAGTGAACAAAAGGATAAAGGGACTTTAAAATTAATAGAATGTGAATAGACTTTTTATCAAAATAAACCAGAATAATGTCAATATTTGTGTAGAAATCTAATACATTTGCATTAGACCTAGAAGAAATTTGTTTTAATGTTTTTCTTTAATCAGTTATATATTTATAGTGGTTGTATTTTTGAAACTTTCACTTTAAAGTAAATGTGGGAATTAGACATGACTCTGATTGTGTGACACTTTAAATGAAACAACATAAAGACTACATTGTATAAAAAAGGTTTTCAATTTTTATACAAAACATTAATTAAAATAACACAAGGCTTAATATATGATATATGTCACCATTGTGATTTTATTGTTGTTTGATATATGTGTCCCATCAACATGACTATTTTCTTATACACAGGGACATATGGATGAAGATGTTCAGCAAATCCTGTTCAACATAGTTGACCTACGCAGCGTGGAAGAGTACTGCTGACCCTGGCTGTGCCTGCCTTCCTCGTCTCCATGGAAACTCAGCAGCATTGATCATGTGATCTGTACAGAGTGTGATCAGAATGGGAGCTACAGGTGTGATCTTGACCCTGGCTGTGCAAGACTTGTCTCCATGGAAACTCAGCAATTGATCATGTGATCTATAGTACTGAGTGTGATCAGAATGGGAGCTACAGGTGTGATCTTTACCCTGGGTGTGCCATCCTCGTCTCCATGGAAACTCAGCAATTGATCATGTGATCTGTACAGAGTGTGATCAGAATGGGAGCTACAGGTATGATCTTGACCCTGGCTGTGCAAGACTTGTCTCCGTGGAAACTCAGCACCAATGATCATGTGATCTATAGTACTGAGTGTGATCAGAATGGGAGCTACAGGTGTGATCTTTACCCTGGGTGTGCCATCCTCGTCTCCATGGAAACTCAGCAATTGATCATATGATCTGTACAGAGTGTGATCAGAATGAGAGCTACAGGTATGATCTTGACCCTGACTGTGCAACACTTGTCTCCGTGGAAACTCAGCACCAATGATCATGTGATCTATATTACTGAGTGTGATCAGAATGGGAAATACAGGTGTGATCTTGACCTTGGCTGTGCAAGACTTGTCTCTATGGAAACTCAGCAGCATTGATCATGTGATCTTTAGTACAGAGGGTAAACACAATGGGTGTTACAGGTGCAATCTTGTGATTAGCCTAGCTGTGAAAGCCTCATATCCATGGAAATTCAGCAGTATTGATTACATGTCTGGTGCAGAATAGGATGGGAACTGAAGCTACAGGTGGGATTTTGGTATTCACTGTCCACTGTTGTCCTCCTTGTCAAATATCACCAGGTTGCTCTGATGACCTGGCCTTATATCAACACCTGTTTCAGTGATATCCCTGGCCTGTAGGTTTCTGTGATGATGTCTCCGGCCTGTATCGACAGGTTTTGTGATGTCTCTGGCCTGTATCAATAGATTTGAAGTGTCCTTGACCTGGAAGTTCCTGTGATGTATTCGGTCTGTATCGACAGGTTTTGTGATGTCCTTGACCTGGAAGTTCCTTTGATGTCTTCAGCCTGTATCAACTGATTTCTGTGCCGTGCTGCACCAACAAGGCATTGGCCAAGTGACCCTGTCCTCTAGGAGTATTTTAGACACCTACTTTTTAGTTGTTACAGCCCACAGTTATGAATATAATTCCACACCTTGTGATGGTTGGTAGAAAAAACAGGATTCTGGGTAAACAACCTGTTGCCCTGTTCTCAAATAACCTTCCTTTCTCGAGAAAATTCCTCTGTTTGGATAAGACTGGAAGTATTTATTATGGCTCAGCATCAGCATTTTGTAAATTAGAGAGATTTGTTTATTCATACATGAAACAATGACACAGTGAGCTAGGATGGATAAGGTTGTGATACACATTAGGGGTATGGACCTTTGTGAGGATATTATGTTTTATTAGGGAGATAATTGTACTTTTGATTATACCCTAATTTCACTCTCCTTTATTTGATTAATCAATTTCTGTTGCAATGTATTCTCCACATGAAGTTATCCTCATCCTGATGCTAATTGTAGGAGTAAGTTTGTGTTGATGCTGCTGGGAATGACTCGGGTCTGCCTTACAGGTGATGTGCTGTGAGATTTTACATTCCTTGGGATAGTGTAATAGACATTGTGTGTCCTTGGTGACCAGGTGACAATCCTTAACAACAATATAAGGACCAAGGTATATATCTACAGGTAGCTTACAGTATACTATTCATATCCATTCATGGCTGCAGAACGAAATATGAATTATAGTAGATAAATTCGGTGTTATTTTTATATAACAATACTTAGTAAGATGTTTTATGTTGAAAGTGTGTGTAAGTATGTGTATTATTTTATATACAGTTGTGAGGGACCTCATCATTTTACTAGTGTTGCCATAAAAACAAAATTTTATATTCAATATTTTTATATGATTTATTAATGATTAGTTGGGGGTGTTGGATAGCATCGATACATAACGTATTGTGTTTATTTGTTTTTAGTTGTGTCTGTGTGTTTACAGCTATCAACCTTTGTTGAGGTAACCTGCTATTTTATAAACCCTGTAAAATTGGTAATAACCAGTGTGAGTGATATCTGCTGGAGTATCCTGTACCCTGTCTTAGTGTTACCTTCCTGTACAATCAAAACTGATGTGGTTGAAGACTCAAATGATAAAGAAGTATTTACATAATTCTAAGAATCGTCTCCAAAATATTGTTCATTGATTCAAGATGCAATCTCAGAAGAGAGAAAACAACACCTCTTCACAAAGAGATTATGAATGTGAATGAACTACAGTCAAAATAAGCTTCACTCAAATGGAGGGCTTGATTGGTAAGGGAGAGGCTTAGTGAAGAAGAGTAGCAAAAATTCCACTTAAGTCTAGCACCCTTATATTTTAGGGAGGTTGAAAGGTCAGTTATTTGCAGAAAATTCCCTAACAAACCAAACAACATAGAGCTTGTTTTAAAATATTTTTCAAGGAAAGAATTAACTTATTGAAAGCTGTTCAGGGTTTGTTTCTGAATACCATTTTTGATGGAATAAAGGTGTTTTATAGCCATTAGGACCAACTCACCTGTCAGTATTCAGCGATGCTACAGGTTTTGACACATCAATATACACATTCTTTTATAGAAAGAGCTAACAGCACAGATACTGTTTCTAGTTTTTGCAAACACTTTAGGTTGTCTTGTCAGGTGTACATGTAAATTTTGGTGTAAACATTTAATTAAAGTGAATATCTACATATCATTCTAGTGCTTCCAGAGGATATGTCAACCTCGTAACCAGGTAAACCCCACCAAAACCACAATTGCCTAAATAAATACAATTCATGCTACAAGGATTTTATTGAGAAATTGCTACACTATTTGTATGAAGTCATGTCTCTAGTTGGACCAAGCAGCTTTTACAAAAGCAGTCAAATACCTTTGACATTAATGCTAAGAATGTTTGATTTGCAAAATTTTATGGAAAAGTTTCTGTCTGAATAAAATCTGGTTACCAGTACTTATTGTATAAATGTTGCTATGTCTATTTTACAATTTGCAAATGAACAAATTTCCTTTTTCCATGTCTTCCATATTTTGTGGAAAGGAATTCCATTCCAGAACAAAAAGCATTCTTGTTTTATACACATGTGTGTTTTAACATCAAGCCAAAGTTTGGCCTATTCTGACTTTGAAATGAAGTTTAACATTGATTTTAAAAGATGTTATTATTTTTATTTTGTCCATTGTCTCTGAACATTCCGTGATTAACTTAATCCCACCTGTCTGGACAATTCTCCGTATAAATGAGCCGTGATGTTGGCCTAAAGTTTAGTACGGTAACATTGACTTGTGATGTAGGTTAGGATATTTTACCTTTACCATACATATCAGTTACCTGTGGTCCAGTCCATCTAATACACGTACTGTATTTAAAGACACATGCTACCTTTATACAGTAACATTATCACTGTTTCAAAAGAGTTCAATTGATAGAAAACTTTTGGATTTTTTTAAATTCTTATTCGAACGAATTAATTTTGTGATGGCATTTTTGAAAAGTAAATACCACTTAATGCGTTGCTTACATTCCTATTCTGACTTTGAAATGAAGTTTAACATTGATTTTAAAAGATGTTATTATTTTTATTTTGTCCATTGTCTCTGAACATTCCGTGATTAACTTAATCCCACCTGTCTGGACAATTCTCCGTATAAATGAGCCGTGATGTTGGCCTAAAGTTTAGTACGGTAACATTGACTTGTGATGTAGGTTAGGATATTTTACCTTTACCATACATATCAGTTACCTGTGGTCCAGTCCATCTAATACACGTACTGTATTTAAAGACACATGCTACCTTTATACAGTAACATTATCACTGTTTCAAAAGAGTTCAATTGATAGAAAACTTTTGGATTTTTTTAAATTCTTATTCGAACAAATTAATTTTGTGATGGCATTTTTGAAAAGTAAATACCACTTAATGCGTTGCTTACATTCCTATGATTATACTTGTACTGTACGCTGGGGAACTTTCACCGAGTCGATAGTTCACCCTTCACTAGTAAAATCCCTATTTGCCCAGTGTTAATTTGCTCTCCACATGTAATCTCTATATACTAAGTATGTTATGAAGTGTACAAATATTTACTGTCACGATAAATTGGCAGTCATTACTGAGGTTGAAAATGCAAAAAACAATTATAAACTGTGGAGAAAATTTTCTGGCATGCAGTCAGTATGTCTCATTTTTCATTAAGAAAACAATAAGGGGGATAACTCCCAACACAAATCATATATATACTGTATAGCCCTGCATGTTCAGTAACAATATCATCTTGCCATTAGATATAGATAACTAACAGTAAAACACTCTTCATATTTTGAAAAAATGGCAGAGATTGAAGTTAGTCGATCCCAGGATTATTTTCTGGTGATGTATTTGGTTGTACAATATTAATACTCAAGGTCAAGTTTCAAGTTAAGCAAGACCCTAAAACATTTCACCTGTGGGAAAGGGATGTGTAGTACATGTAGCAGAAATTCCATATTTGTTCGATCATTCACTCATCTGTAAACAAGGGGTTAGGGTATAAGACAAGAAACCTGAACAAAAAGGATGATATAGTCTCAGGGAGGCAGTCCTAACATCAGTTTTTATGTGTTAAACCACTTAAATGTTGTAACCATACAAACAACTACATTGATCTTTAGAACATGTGTATACATATCATCATTACTCTATATACATATCACGATTAGTCTATACATATCTGATCTTATCATCAGCATTTTTTTTACTGCTTTTTGAAAATAACATTGTGTATGACTGTTTGATTCTGTCTATGTGTGAGAGTTTGAGAGGTACATTCCATACTGTAATATATTACAGGTTTAAGCCAATTACCAGATTTTATCATATTTACATGAAAGATGGCCATCCTGATCATAATAATTTTTTATCATTCCGTATGTTATATCAGCAATAAAATATTGTTTTGGTTAGCAAGTGTAATCACACATTGCATCAATAATACAGGTGTGCCACACATATTATCACACATGGCATCAATAATGCAGGTGTGCCACGCATATTATCACACATGGCATCAATAATGCAGGTGTGCCACACATATGATCATGCATGGCATCAATAATGCAGGTATGCCACACATATGATCACACATGGCATCAATAATGCAGGTGTGCCACACATGTGATCACACATGGCATCAATAATACAGGTGTGCCACACATATGATCATGCATGGCATCAATAATGCAGGTGTGTTCCATGTATAATTTCATTTTCCATCAAAAATACAGGTGTGTACCATGTATAATTACATTTGCCATCAAAAATACAGGTGTGTAACATGTATAATTACTTTTGCCCTCAAAAATACAGGTGTGTACCATGTTTAATTACACTTGCCATCAAAAATACAGATGTGTCCTATGTATAATTACATTTGCCATCAAAAATACACGTGTGTACCATGTATAATTACATTTGCCATCAAAAATACAAGGGTGTACCATGTATAATTACACTTGCCATCAAAAATACAGGTGTGTACCATGTATAATTACATTTGCCATCAAAAATACAAGGGTGTACCATGTATAATTACACTTGCCATCAAAAATACAGATGTATTCCATGTTAAAATAATTACACTCACCATCAACAGTGGAGGTATGCTCCATGTTTGTTGGTGTTACATTATCAATAAACATGTTCTCCATTATGAAGTGAAAATGTGAATCAATGATTTTAGGAATAAATTGGTGTATGAAAAGACAAAGACAGTAATATTTAGAGAAGAGATAGATGTTTATAAATCTTGTTGATAGGATACCAGAGAATGGAGTGCTAATAGGGTAAGGGTTTAAATGATCAATATCTATATGCAACTGCAATATTTTTGGAGTAATATATAATATATGTAGTTAATAAGAATACTTCATAAAATCATTATCAAACAACACATATGTTGTTGATTCAAAATGTCTCTTTGCAATCTTATGTATTTATACATATATGGCAATGATGTTAATAGGAATGAGTACAACAATAAAAAACGCCAAAACACTAAACTGATTTCTTTTTTTGTACTGTCACAGAATTTTACATTAATACTTACGATGTGTGTGAAGTTTCATTGACTAGTTATACATATATATTTTTAAATGACAATTTGTAACCATAAAAGGAGAAGATGATCCTACAGTTATTGGTGTCTACAGTGTATCCTTGACGTGTGGTTTGTAATGGTGTTATTCGTGTCTTCAGTGTATCCTTGACGTGTGGTTTGTAATGGAGTTATTCGTGTCTTCAGTGTATCCCTGACGTATGGTCTGTTATGGAGTTATTGGTGTCTACAGTGTATCCTTGACGTATGGTTTGTAATGGAGTTATTGATGTCCACAGTGTATCCTTGACGTATGGTTTGTAACGGAGTTATTGATGTCTATAGTGTATCCTTGACGTATGGTTTGTAATAGTTATTGGTGTCGACAGTGTATCTCTGACGTATGGTTTGTAATGGAGTTATTCGTGTCTTCAGTGTATCCCTGACGTATGGTCTGTTATGGAGTTATTGGTGTCTACAGTGTATCCCTGACGTATGGTCTGTAATGGAGTTATTGATGTCCACAGTGTATCCTTGACGTATGGTTTGTAACGGAGTTATTGATGTCTACAGTGTATCCTTGACGTATGGTTTGTAATAGAGTTACTGGTGTCGACAGTGTATCCTGGACGTGTGGTTTGTAATGGAGTTATTGATGTCTACGGTGTATCCTTGACGTATGGTTTGTAATAGAGTTATTGGTGTCGACAGTGTATCTCTGACGTGTGGTTTGTAATGGAGTTATTCGTGTCTTCAGTGTATCCTTGACGTATGGTCTGTAATGGAGTTAATGATGTCCACAGTGTATCCTTGATGTATGGTTTGTAATGGAGGTATTCGTGTCTACAGTGTATCTCGACGTATGGTCTGTAATGGAGTTATTGATGTCCACAGTGTATCCTTGACGTACGGTTTGTAATGGAGTTATTGGTGTCTACAGTGTATCCTTGACGTATGGTCTGTAATGGAGTTATTCATGTCTTCAGTGTATCCTTGACGTATGGTTTGTAATGGAGTTATTGGTGTCTACAGTGTATCCTTGACGTGTGGTATGTAATGGAGTTATTCGCGTATGGTCTGCAATGGAATTATTCGTGTCTTCAGTGTATCCTTGACGTATGGTCTGTAATGGAATTATTCGTGTCTACAGTGTATCCTTGACATGTGGTCTGTAATGGAGTTATTGGTGTCTACAGTGTATCGTTGACGTATGGTCTGTAATGGAGTTATTCGTGTCTTCAGTGTATCCTTGACGTATGGTCTGTAATGGAGTTATTGGTGTCTACAGTGTATCCTTGACGTGTGGTTTGTAATGGAATTATTCGTGTCTACAGTGTATCCTTGAAGTGTGGTTTGTAACGGAGTTATTCGTGTCTACAGTGTATCCTTGACGTATGGTTTGTAATGGAGTTATTGGTGTCTACAGTGTATCTCGACGTATGGTTTGTAATGGAGTTATTGATGTCCACAGTGTATCCTTGACGTGTGGTTTGTAATGGAGTTATTGATGTCCACAGTGTATCATTGACGTATGGTTTGTAATGGAGTTATTCGTGTCTTCAGTGTATCCTTGACGTATAGTTTGTAATGGAGTTATTGATGTCTACAGTGTATCCTTGACGTGTGGTTTGTAATGGTGTTATTCGTGTCTTCAGTGTATCCCTGACGTATGGTCTGTAATGGAGTTATTGGTGTCTACAGTGTATCCTTGACGTATGGTTTGTAATGGAGTTATTGATGTCCACAGTGTATCCTTGACGTATGGTCTGTAATGGAGTTATTGGTGTCTACAGAGTATCCTTGACGTGTGGTTTGTAATGGAATTATTCGTGTCTACAGTGTATCCTTGACGTATGGTTTGTAACGGAGTTATTCGTGTCTACAGTGTATCCTTGACGTATGGTTTGTAATGGAGTTATTGGTGTCTACAGTGTATCTCGGCGTATGGTTTGTAATGGAGTTATTGATGTCCACAGTGTATCCTTGACGTATAGTTTGTAATGGAATTATTCGTGTCTGCAGTGTATCCTTGACGTGTGGTTTGTTATGGAGTTATTCGTGTCTGCAGTGTATCCTTGACGTATGGTTTGTAATGGAGTTATTGATGTCCACAGTGTATCCTTGACGTATGGATTGTTATGGAGTTATTCGTGTCTTCAGTGTATCCTTGACGTGTGGTTTGTAATGGAGTTATTCGTGTCTGCAGTGTATCCTTGAAGTGTGGTTTGTAATGGAGTTATTGGTGTCTACAGTGTATCCTTGACGTATGGTTTGTAATGGAGCTATTGGTGTCTACAGTGTATCCTTGACGTATGGTCTGTAATGGAGTTATTGATGTCCACAGTGTATCGTTGACGTGTGGTTTGTAATGGAGTTATTCTTGTCTGAAATGTATCCTTGACGTGTGGTTTGTAATGGAGTTAGTCGTGTCTGCAGTGTATCCTTGACGTGTGGTCTGACGTATGGTTTGTAATGGAGTTATTCGTGTCTTCAGTGTATCCTTGACGTATGGTCTGTAATGGAGTTATTGATGTCCACAGTGTATCCCTGACGTGTGGTTTGTAATGGAGTTATTCTTGTCTGCGATGTATCCTTGACGTGTGGTTTGTAATGGAGGTTTTGGTGTCTACAGTGTATCCTTGACGTATGGTCTGTAATGGATTTATTCGTGTCTACAGTGTATCCTTGACGTGTGGTTTGTAATGGAGTTATTCTTGTCTGCAATGTATCCTTGACGTGTGGTTTGTAATGGAGTTATTCGTGTCTGCAGTGTATCCTTGACGTGTGGTTTGTAATGGATGTCGTATAGCATTTAATAGATTTGTAAAGGAATAACACAACTAGACTTTCAAGCCCTGTTTCAGCCATGCTGGTATAGGTTTTCAATTCTTGACATTTGAACGTTAACGTGTAGAATTCCGGTCCTTGTTGGAAGGGTTGTAAACCATTCATTACATATCAGGTGTTGACTTTGCTGTAGGATTCCTTTCCGTGCTGATTGTTCATATTGTCATGAATATTCATTTCTTGACCGTTGGACGATTTACTTCAGGGTTCCTCTCCGTGTCGTTTGTTGAAAATGTCTTCTTACAAATCCAGAACTTGACACTCTGCATTAGGGAGCTGACCTGGTTGTACTTCAATGGTAAGAGTTGTACTTGTATGGTAAGAGTAACGACATCGCTTCTAATTGAAGGTTTTGTCGTACGGGTTTTTGTCCCACTTTCGCCGCTGCAAAACTCTCTTCTGGCGGCAATACTTTCTTGTAAAGATGTCAAAAACGCTAGCTCCATACCATTCCCGTGCATCCATCTTGGGGCGGTAACTGACATCGCTAGAATACAGGTTACCATGACACATGGCTGTGGACGGAAGAATTGAGATGAGATTTTTGCCGAGTTGGGATAACGACCATTCCTCGGTTTGTTTCACGTCCTCTCCCGTGTCCACAACATTTCGCAATGGTCCGACAGCGATGAAGGCGTCCCCTTCTGTAATGGCGTCAGGATGAGGAGGTAGACAGCTCAGAATCACTGTGGTTGTTTTTGTATCGGACGTGTCACTTACTGGCATCATTTTGTAGAAACCAGGCTGGAGCTCGTCGACCTTGATATGTATCAATGTGTTGTCCTCGTCATGGTAGGTGAGTTGTGCCTTGAAGTCGGCGTATCTACTCCAGCGCTTCAACTCCGCGTCTGTACCCTTGGTAAGGGTGATACTTACTCTAGACGTAGTGGTCTGTATCGTGTCGTTGCTTCGCGTGATGTAGACTACCTTGGCATTCCTGATAACGGACGTTCTGTTGGATCTACACGAATAAATAGACTGTTTTTCTTGCTTCTTTTTCCGTCTCAAATATTTCTGATTCAGCACTAGCTGCCTTATAAAATCCAATTTGCGTTTTGGAACTAATTTACCTGTATTAATTTTACGATTAGTCTTTTTCTTAGCCAAATTCGGACTGTCTTTAAGTGTCTGTTCTTTGTCTGTTTTAATTTCGATCTTTGGAGAAATGGCCTTAAAACTTGATACCCCCTTTGGATTGTTCGTTCCTGTTTTAACGTCCCCGTTATTCTTGTCGTCTTTGCTATGTATGAGGAAGAGCTTGTTACCGTATTTCACGGCATATACGGGCTGTTTACGTTCCACTTCGGTTGTCTGTTTACGGTTAACCATCGCTACAGTACCAGACTTGGTCGAAATTTGGTGGAGAATGTCCTTAGTTAGGGGCTTGGCGGGCGAGGCGTCCGGAGTCTTCGTGTATCTATGATCTGACAGGTGTACACTGGCTGTGTCATCATCATCATCATCTATGTCTACTTTAATAGGATCTTCATCTTTTTCTTGTTTGATTACTACTTCAGAACAATCGTGCTCACCGACAGTATCAGAATATTGTGCACTCTTGGTATCTTCCGAACACTTGCTATTATTCACATGTAATTGATTTAGTTTTTTCAACAAGGAATTAGCATCGTCTCGTAACTGATCGTTGAGATTGTTGCGGATGTCTACGTCACTTTTCTGAGTCTCCGTTACCTTGACAACGTCAAACTCTGAATTCCATCTTGGCTTGCTCTTCGCCGCGTCATGTGAGGCTTCCGCGTCATCCATCTGCGCGCAGTATTCAGCATAGGAGATGGCATGACCAACACGCTTAGGAGTGATAACATTTTGCTTTGTGTTTGGAGTTAGAAAGGATTCATTTGATTTGATCGGGATTATTTCCTGTGATTTACTGATGGCAAAACTGCCCATCTGGACCACTGGTTTTATTGAAGGTGTGCTTTTACTTGGTAGGCTGGTTGTTTCTACTACTTCATTCGTGTCCTTGGGAATGTCTGTTTTTATTTTTGATGAAAAGTTAAAGGATATCGGACTATCAGATCCTATTTCGTTTTTGTATGTTGATGTTACACGTTTGCCTTTCTGCGGGGATGTTTTAATGATTGGCATTTGGGACCCTTTTACAGGAAGATGCAATTCTTTCATGTGTGGGAATGCGTTTGCACTCTTTATATGTACAGCATTTGACGTCCGCTCCTTTTTCGGCGAGATCCTGCCAGTGTCACTAATATGGTCAGACTTGTCTGACGTCTCTGTCAAGGCGTTCCCTTCTACAACTACTCCAGAGATCTTCCGATATCCGGATGGACCGGGTTGTACCAGCTCGTCCGTGAATGATTCGCCCTGTTTTTTCCTGTTTTTCTTAGGTTTAATCTTTGTCAAAATCTCGGGATTTCCTATACTTTTGTTTTTCTGCAGTCTACATAGTTCCACTGAAGCCGTTTCTGAGCTATCTTTACACATTTGGTCTGATGTAGATGACTTGGAGCAGGTCGCAGCTTGTTCTAGGTTGGACGATCCTTTTGACTTTGTAGCAAATTTAGATTTTACGAGAATATTTGGAACGTTCTTCTGTGTTCCCTGAAGCCAGTCTTCCTGTGGTATGTATTTAGCCTTAATACTATCTGTACTTGCTGATATTGCCGTCTTAAGCATTTTTCTTGTCACGTTTAGTTTGTTTTCACTAGAAGAAGGCACAGAGGAACATCGTTCTTTGGGGATCAATTCTTTCAATGATACGTTTATGGCGGAACCAGCGCGTAAATACTGTTTCTGGACTGGTCGTTTTCTGGCTCGGTGACCTCTCTGATCCGCGGAATGTTGTCTGTTCATCGGCATGATAGACGTGTACTCAGCAGTACCCAATGTTTCACGTTTGATTTTCGATGAGTAGGGTGAAGAGTTTAAGCAAATAGATTCCGTTGAAGCAAAGTTGACTGCTTCTTGTTTCTCTCTCATCAACTTTGCTGTTATGTTCTCTAATTTGGTCTTGGATTTCTTACTAGACTTTGGCTGATTGAAGCAATCGATTTTATCACTATGAGGAAGGGTCGGCCTCTTCACGGATACATCACATCTGTTAATTGTACAAGCTTTGGATTTAGACGATTGTTCATTATCATTGCAGATGCTACTTTCTACATTCTTCATTGTTTTTCCATCGAAGCATTTTACAGATAATGCTTTTGATATGCTCTCAGTGTGGGACGAAAGGAATTCTTTATTGCAAGACATTTGTTTGGCAGTATTATTGACAAGCTGTATTTTTCCGAGCACGGTATCGCTGATTTTCTTCCTGATGTAGGGAATGGTTGAACAACTGGGTTCATTCACATGATTACCAAACCTCATCTCAATAACCGTAGGCATATTCAATGAGCCTTTGGTTCCAATCTGCTTGTCTTTTGATGTTGATGCCTGCTCGTTTGCATTGCTTGTTATATTGCTCTCTTTTATATCCGCATCTGGAAGGACTTGTGAGTATGCATCGTAATTCTTCGGGGAGGTGGTAAAATGAAGTTTTCTACGTTTCCTTGGTGATTCTATATACGGCAAGTTCTCGGATGTGCATATCTTGGTACTTTCATGTTTGAAATCGCGTTTTGGAGGCGCCATGTTTCTATCAGCGCTCGGAAAAGGTAAAGTGTCAAGTGATGCTGTTTCGCTTTTCTGAGCCTCTGCTGAATCTAGAATCGCATGTGAATGAATATCACCGGCTCTACCTTCCTCGGAATAACTGGTAGTACATGATACATCCCTTCTTGATTTGGCATCTTCCGGGACCTCGCTCACTGACGACGAGGAGCTATCCTGTCTTGCGTTGTGCGCAGCGTTTACCATACTACATGTAGCTGTTTGTTGAATGTTACATGTGACGCCCTTCGGGAGGTCAGTAGGTGTGAGTTTTGTCAGGACCACAGAGGCTGTTTTCATATGGCGAACATCTGGGGGCACCTTCATTGTCGTTGAACCTGTTTAAATACATGTGTATTTTTTTCATGTAAGTTAGGTCATTTTACAGTTGTAGATACATTTACATGCATTCAAAAGATCTATTCACTGTCCGAACCATATTTTGACGTATAGAAGTGTAAAGACTGGTGAAGGCTACTTTGAATTTAGGAGGATATTTAAATATTGTGATGATCCACCATTGCGTGCGTGGAGGATATAGCCTTACTCTTGTCAGTCCTTACTTATCTATGTACGTAACACACTCAACTACCATCGGTATACTCCTTTATCTATTATTTGATTTGAATGAAGCTTCAACTCCAGAATTTTAATTTTCAGTGAATTCACACGTAATTATAATTCAGACATGAATCAGGGGGATATAGTACTATGTGTCAAACAAATTGTAATGCACCTGCATTCTTCAATCATTAAACTAACTCGTTTTGGCCTATATGTTACACATAATGTACTCACTTTACATAATCAGTTAAGTCAACTGGAGATGGCCATAGGGATACACAGTAGACCTGAAAAGACAGCATGGAATGAAAATCGGACAGTCACTAGCCGGTCACTCGCTCATGTGCGATGCCGGACCGAACTATGTTGTTCGTATCGCTAGAAAGTAGCGATATACATTACCACGAGTTTCAACATCATTGTGTTAGCACAGAAATAAACATGGACCATCAAGGTCAACGCCAAAATGGAGGACAAACATGTAACATGTAATAAAAGCGATAATTATGGTGACTTTATTTCACAAGACAACCAATACTATCTTACTCTGATATTGTACCTGTATCTATGTATACTATTCAAGACTCACTCTGACATAAACGCTAATTACAATTTTCATGAATTGAATTTGACGACATCATCCATGACCGATATCAGTGGTGATGATCGAAATAGGACAGTGAAGTGATGACGTAAAAGCAAACCATCCTTGAAATACTTTGCTGAACTGTTCCTGTGCAAGGACGTATCAAGGGAGACGTAAGATTGGTTAAACTGACGTTGACAAACAAACAAATCTGAGGACGAAAGCGGACAACGAGACGGTGTCTAATAGGGTATAAATGTTTTTCTTTCGGTTCTGTTATAGGTATTTTCACCAAAGTTGGTCTAGAGCATTCTAGGCTAAAACGGACATTTTCATCGTAAAATTCAGAGAATATGGCCCCGATGGGGGCAGAGATGCGTGGCCAAATAGGGCAAGTGGATTTATTTTCGTTTTTCAATATTTCAAAATGAAAAATAGATCATAAGATAGTAGTTTTTATTAGTAAGTTTAAAATAAACAGAATAAAACACGCCTTTTTCCATATCACACAAAGTATCAACCCTCGACCAATATCAGCCCTCGGGCCTTCGGCCCTTGGGCTGATATTGCACTCTCGGGTTGATACTGGGTGTGATATGGAAAAAAGGCATGTATTATTCTATATATGGGAAATCAGAACATCTTTACTCCAAATCTAGAAGAGTGTTTTTTAACGAGGAAATGCACACATATTGAACATGAAGAGACAACTTGATAGATCCATGCTGCCGGGATTGACCCCTGGGGTTCAGTCTATCCGTAGAGACATAGTCCCTGTGTCATAGGAACATGGACATATGTACATGTACAAACATAACCTGTACAAATCCTCTGTGTATTGTTGGCAATTATGAAGTAAGTATACTTACAGTAGTAGAATGGATGATTTAAAACTTAGATATGTATAATCATATTATTAATTTTAAGTATCGAACGGGTAATTCAGATGTTGGTCTAGTAAAAAAAAAGTACAATGCCTGGTGCTTTTGTATATTTTTGTATAAACATTTTCTTTTCTTTTAAACCAATCCATGCCTTTTTATAGATAAATTGAATGTCCCCTTCGCGTTACATAAGAGTTCTAACTGCTTATTGAATTATTATTCTTATATTTGATTGCTAAAGTGTTGATATTGATACAGAACACTTCTCTATGGTAAGGTTAATCCTATAGTATTTTTTAAGATTTAAGTTATTTTCCGATGTTTTGCCAAATCGTTAATAGATTCAACATCGCCATTTCATTCAACTCTGCGAAAAGCTCTGCCAACTTAAAACAAATACATGTGATAAAGTATCATCTTCGAAAAAAATGATAGTAGTGTTACTTTACCATGTAATATCGTTTATAAAAATGGAGAAAGAGTAAAGGATAAAGTACTGCGCCTCGTGGGACCGCAGCATATGTATTTGAAATTAGACTTATACTCTTCAAACTATTCCCATTACTCTCTATCGTGAGATAATCCTAAACGCAATTATAAAGATTCCATAAAGTTATTAACTAAAAAAATATATGATAAATACTATGTATTTTTGTTTGTATATAAACCTTCATGTCGATATTTGTCATATGCTTTGATAACACAGAAAACTAGTCTAAAATCTTTACGCTTGAAATTAAGTTCCTTTGTGATAACATAGAAACGGTTAAACCATATACCAAGTACTTGCTTGCTGGGCATGAAGAGACGAACACAAGCATGCTACCATGATTCGTTCTGATGTTTGACCCCACCTCTTGGGACTTACCCAGGGTCATAACTCAGGCCGTATATGGTAAGTCACAGGGTCTAGATAACAAATACAGGGTAAATGGTATACGAATTTTAACCATATTTGAAATGAAGCGTCCTTTGTCCTTGGGACCTGGGAATGAATAATTGCATAAATGAAGTGTTTCAATACCGTTGGGGATGAGGGGCAAGGCTCGGACATGGCTATGGCAGCGTATTTTGTATTATGAAGCCTACTCCTCCAGACCTGTTGATCATGTTTTCAACTTAAGTTGCTATGAAATATCCCCTACCCCAAAGAATGAAATAGTAAATCCAATTTGTTATGAAACATCCCCTAGTTACAAAAAATAATAAATGCTTTAACATGTGTATCATTACTTTAAGGACCCTGCCCCACTGCACCCTTTTTTCATATATAACCCCTCCTTAACTTCCGTTTGGATATAATAGTAGAACAGGTCGAATCCCGGTCTATTCCCTATTTTTTTTTACACTCAAAACACCATTATTGTTTATGCTTTGTTTATTTCATCGTTCTCACACAAGTCCCGTAACGTATGGTTTTCTTTTCTGGAATTATTTATCAGAACTATTGTTTCCAACACTTAGTTACAGTTTTTTGGCTGTGGTACGGGGATCCTTAAGATAATAATTAAAGGCCCCCTGTGTTTTTTTTAGAAATGGTATCGTTCTTTTTCCTAACCGTGTACCAATTCCCATGGGTAGCACCAAGTAAGCATACAGTGTGAGCAGTACCTGACCAACGATGATGCTCTGATATTGCAACTGAAACACTAATGAAAGTAAACTACCTTATCGGTAGTCTTTGAGAGTGCGAAATATATATATTTAACTTAGCACTCCGAGGTAAACATACAAATTGTACTGTAGTTAGAGCTTATCACACACACAGGGAGAAAACATTTGTTACATTGCTGCACACGATTTTTTTCCTAACTTTGTTTTTAAAAGACATCATATATTTTCAGAAATAGACACAACGTATTAGGGGAAACAAAACTTACCGATTTGTCGGCTATAGCGGACCAGTACACATATTGACTAAGACATAACTACACTTCTAAACGTTATCCATGATTACAAAACTATACATGATTCTCAAAGAGTATTGTTATTCATCATTTAAATACATATGTATTTGGTTGTTAGCGTTTATTTTATAGAAAAATTCTCCTCGTCGAACAGTCCGTTTTTCTAATTTGGCGGTCATAGCAAATTCGTTATTCTGTACGTAATGTGTAAGTAAAGTAATGTTTCTTTTGAAATTTCTAGGAAAATAATATATACAAATAATTCAGTACTGTTATTGCAGCTAAGTACTCGTGAATATTTTATCTAATTCGTTCTTCTTCTTCTTCTTCTTCTTCTTCTTCTTCTTCTTCTTCTTCTTCTTCTTCTTCTTCTTCTTTATATACGAGGGCTCCATCAGTTTGATGATTATGCCATCGTATTCCATGAAAACTAAAAGTGAATACGTTGAAATATCAATTTAAATCAGAAATCAAAGGACTTACCTTGATCTAAAAAGAGCACTGTGTAGCACAAGCAGGGAAAAAGTGTCCGTCAACTTGAACATGCGAATCTTGTGACGTCAGTAATAAATGCATGACGTCATCAAAACAGGTGTTGTACGTGTGACGTCAACGTTCTAACTTATGCAATTAAAAAGCATCTGTAATGCAGATGATAACGCATGCTCTTCATTTTCAAAGTATCTAACTGTCTTCAAAATTGTTCTTAATGAAGGCATACATGAAAAACACTCTTCTCCAAAACTGCCATAAAAAATAATAGTCGGTTAGCGAGCTTACTTTCGTCAAACACACGAACACTTTACATTTCAGTAGATTCGCATATGTACGTGACACAGTACCGTTGTCCTATGCGAATCAATTCTTCCCAAATCTTTTCATCCGTGTCCGGAAAGTGTCTAGAAATGCTCTGGCCAATCAGTCGCACAGATTTTTCAAAGAGAGACACTCTCGAGGACAATCTATATCCGCTTCATCAGTTTTTAAAAAGAGGTAGACAGTTATCGCGGACTATACTTTCTGGTAGATGTGTCGATAAAATTTGCTTATGATTTTGGTTATCTTTCATTTACATGACTTTATGATGACAATGACATAGATATTCCATGCATAACAATCAGTAGGAAGTTTGCAGTAAGAAGTACCTTTAAATTAGAATATGGAAACTATCCCTCTATTGCCATGCGTATATTATAATTAAATTATAAGTGATCTTAGATATTCGTCGCAGAGGCTACGCTCACTTGCTGCTCTCTGCGCCCCTGAAATATGTCATGGCAAATACGAAGGCACTCGGCTAGCTATTTGACTGGTCTCGGGTAAGAAACAACTGACCGATCGAAAGGCTAATAGCTGTCATTTGAAGATAACCGACTTCAAAGCCGGCCAATTTTACCGTTACACTGGCCCGGGATTTTAAAAAATGTATATTAAAGGATCAAACTAGCGTTAGTGTATCATCTACAAGGTGGCGCACACTGAACCTTCGTTATTCCAGAAGTACAGAGAGCGTACATGAGCGAAACCCCTGGAGTATCGAGGATAGTTAAAAGTGGTAATGCTGTTTTGCTGTCGTAACTAAATGTATACTACATTTACTTGTGACGTCGGGCGGAGCCAGAGTAAAAATCTCCAAAATTTACGTCTACAAATCCGGAAATAGATGGGCTATTACATACTGTATATACAGAAAGAAAATGATACGATATGCATTGAAGCACACAACGACAATGTCTCTTCCCTATGAACAGAAATATAGGTTAGTAGCTTCACCATGGGTTTATGTTTACCCTTGGCCTTAGAATTTATAGCAACTCCTTGATAGAATTCTATACTCTCCATCGGTCGTACTAAGCCATATCAATCTATGTCCATTAACGCTGTGGTTGGAAAATGCCTCGGACTAGGAAACATGGTACACTATAATGACTTGATGGCACGGTCATCGAATTCGCTGTCTGCCCGATCTGCACTGACAGATGCCCTAGATTACAGCTGCATCTACGCTATTCTGTCGTTAATATTTATTGGTCGATAGGCGAGCGTTCCACATAGTCTCATAACTATCTATAAAGATGCCACCATCTATACAATAAATACTAAGAAGACTTTGCTTCAGTCATATACCGTATAGCTTCCCGATTTAAAGTAACATGATGGTGATGCCAAGCGGTAATTCATCATAAAATATTCTTATATATATATATATGGTTAGTGATCATTATTGCAGTTGATATTTCTTTATTGATTTCTAATTTGCATTCGTTATATATATAGCCCTTACCATGTACGTGGACTAGTAATAAGACAAACTATACCCACTAGCTATACATTGGCGTTGGTCTCGCTGATATTTCATCAAGTATAATTATCGAACACCAATGTAAACCATCACCATGGAAACGCAGTGTATTAGAAATTAAACGGCAGTGCTTGGTAGCAGGAATCTATTTCACGGAAAGGCGGGCACCCGAGGTACAGTGATGCTGTTGGTGTGATTTTGGTTGCGACATATGCATACTCCTTCAAAATGGAAAAGCTTGTCAACCCCACTGTACCTGCATGCAAGTAGTAAGTACTGTTCAGGAAGACATGTCCTATTTGTACAGACACTAATTACCGGTATTAATTAATCATACTGGTGTTTCTATGGCAATTAATTAGTCATATCTAACATCCCATTGTTGTAATGCATGGACTTCGTATGTAACTGTTTTAATGGGAGACGTACTGTTTTAATTGGAGACTTACACATATATTTTTATTAATTGAAAACCTACTATTGTTTTTTTTTATTGTTTTATTTGTGTCTTACATATGTGATTGTTTTAATAAAGATTTACATGTGTAAATATATGTACTTGTAACGTAATTGTATTAATTGGAAACTTTACAAATCAATTCTATAATTGGATGTTTACATACATAATCGTTTTTAAGAGGAGACTTACGTATATAATTTTTTATGAAGATTTACACATGTAATTGATTTAACATGGACTTATATATGAACATTTGTTTTAACCTATAATAACTTATACCGGATGATCAGACGAGGCGACTAGTGTAGATCCATTCAAATTTGGATTATTTCTTTCTTTGCAATCTTCTTAAGGCATCTTGAGCAGACACCAACTGCAACTATCGGGATCTTTAAACATTTCCTGTATCTCTATATGCCTCTGCATGCAGTCTGTTGTTGACCCTATTTTACGTTGAGACTGAATGACCATATTGTATGTATGAGTTGTAAGGGCTATATCATACATGTTTACCATTACAGAACATTTTGACCAGGTACCCGTGAGTGTGCGTGCAAATTTTCCCCTTGGATCGGACGAGGCGTCCATAAATCCTTGGTTCCAGCGGAGGACCAATATGGCAACCCACATCACCAAGTTTCTAGCATTGGACCGACATGGTTAGCCACGCCCTTTGGTTCCTGGTTGCATTGTGGGTATGTGTGGCTACTGCCACGCACTGTCTCGACCCCATCAGCTGTCTGAGCGGCAGGTACCCGGGTAAGGTATTTCTTTCTGCTTGTATATGTGTTAAATAATTAAAATATTTGATGTCAGTGACACAGTAGCGCCTGAACCCGGTTTATAGACCTAGTGATTTAGGGCAATCGATAAAAGAAAAATCCCTTCTAGCTAAATCAGAAACAATTGATCATAGACGGTTCCCCCGCTCAGAGTCAATCTCATTAAAATCATGGCTCCGTTACTGTACCTTCGTAACACGCCTGAACTTCGTTCAGGTGTCCAGTTCAAAGGTATATGTGTATTAATCATATTACTCCAGAGTCTTATACAACCACAAGCATTCGACAGTAATGTAGAAATGCTCGTGGGCGTCAATGAAACCTTGGCCATTTTTTTCGAAATGATTCGGCTAGTGGCAAAAGTAGAACGAATCGGCAACAGGCAAAAAGATGGCCATGGTTTACGAACCATAAATACACTATCCAATATTAAAGAGACCAATTAGTATCAGGTTAAACTCTTCGCAATCCGGTATCCACATATACCAAATACGGCAATAGGATAACAACATATATTTAACACATACCAATTAAATCGTAAATTGATGTACATACGTTCTTTCAAATGATTTTCTTTTTAATAAAATCGTTTTTTCAGGTTTCAAGACGGTGACTGATTGTATTTTTGGAGTTGATGGGCTAGAACAAAGAAGTTACCACAGTAACGTGATGTCATGTGAAGGGAATGGTTGTATGAGCCTTGATCCTTTGACACATCAACAGGCCGTCAACGCAAAACAAACACCACGTAACAAACTCCACCGGAAGTTGAAGGTTTCGAAATGCCGGAAGAGGAAGCGAAAGCGTATATCTCGTCGAAAAAGACGTAACAAATGCACGTGATGATTTAGAGATTTCTTTTTCTGTTGGAAATACAATTTGAAATCGCACACACGGAATATGCTTCTTTTGCTAGGATTATTTTGTTCGCATGACAGTGATCATTGTGGGATGTATTGATCGTATAGATACATATTTTTCCATTTACCAAATTAAGACGTAGGCTGATATTTCGATTTATGTGAACCCATACTTAGCCTGAGATAACATGGAAAAGTAAATAAGACGATTATTCGGGGCTCGATACTATACATGAGGTATTGCTCCATCAACAGACTGAGATTGTATGTGTTCTGGACAGACCTGCAGGTGATATAGGGAAAAGGGCATTTTTCGTGAATAACCATTGTGCGCATGCAAACGATCCTTTGAACGGAGATTTCTGCTACAGTGGGCACATATGAACGCAAATGAAGTGTCACCAGCTCTTGAACCAGCGTTTGAAATGAATTTTGCCGGCAACTTGTTCAAAGTAACTGTCTACGCATGTCTGCTGTCCGTCCGAGACATGTCTAATGTGTAGAATCAATACCTTGATAATACCAGGTACCATTCTCAGCAACCTAGTTTTGAATGAAGTTCTGAATGGGAGGAACAAGCTCGTGATCTTCACTTGACGACGATATTTGTATTTGCTTGACTCTTTATGACATGCTGTGTTGAAACACGGAGGGATGACGTTGATGAGAATACGATGTTTTCCGGGACCTGAAAACACGGAATCTAGCCCATTGCATTTAAGGCCACACACTTCGATTTTGATACATATCTTCATACATAACAGGTACTTTTAGTACATTGTATTTGGAGCTATGTCGATTGCATAACAGGTACTTTTAGTACATTGTATTTGGAGCTATGTCGATTGCAGTCTAACTTGACCAGATAGTGTCGGGACTCAATTGAACTAAACTTATTTACGTGTATGACAGTTCATGCAACTCTATCATCCAATACAAAGTCTTAGCACAAGTCTACATATGTACATTATTAATATGTTCAATTCATTTTTGTGTGAACCTTCAGTTGTATTGTCGGACGTGTCCGTGTGTAATTAACTTCAATATTTGGTGAACATACAGTAGTCATGACAAACGTATCCATGTACAAGTTCAATATTTTGAGAACATATAGTAATCATG